TTGAATAGAAACAAATAAAACAAACACTGATTAAATCAAACGAATAAGTGAACTAAAATGAATAGAATTTCAAGCAAGGTGAAATTCAATATTTTCCACAAAGAATTGATTCGCCTTTATCAGATATCACAGTCAAAATTCGAAAACCACTTTTAATAATAAAATATTTCAAACCAATACTGAAGCTGGATTTTATGAGACAGTAGTGAATTTATAGACATCATTAGAAATCAAGCTAAACAACCGTCTTGTAAATATTTCCCAGCTATCTTTATGGCTATAACGCCTGGCAGCTCGTGATTCATTCCAGAGGTGGAAAACCATGTATCTGTTATTGAAGAATGAACCAAAAGTGTAAATTAAAATCACACTGATTTTGTAACATCAGACGCCACAAGTGGTCAACACATCCCAGTTCCTTGCAGAATATGTTCTGGTAAAGGGATGATTCTTGAAGGTTCGTTTTATATTACAACAGACAATAAAATACAGCTTTTTATAACTATCTTTAAATATTAAACAAAGTCCTGCATCAGTGAAAATACGATTTTCTGCGATCCTAAATGACATAATCGCAATCAGGTCATTTTCTGTTTGGGAAAGAAATATCGTTATCATCATTTTATGCATAGGCCTGCTGTTTTCTATATCTGGTAATCTGATAATGATACGAGGGGGTTAAATGAGAGAATTACGACGGTATGTAAGTTCTGAATTATGATCAGTACCTGTTTACGAAAAGATATCGCAATTTGACTTATCATCGTGCGTCAAATAATCTTTAAATTATATGGTCGTTAACGCAGTTATTTTGAATTCTATCAGTATGGGGATTACAGATAAGTAGCTTACGATTTAAATTAATTTGTGAAATATGCGATGCGTTTGGTTTTTAACTGTGACAACACGCACGATCCAATCATTAAGGCCGCACATGGTGATAATATACTGGAGGATCATGAGAAGGGTATTGATGACTATCTGGTTCTCAGAAAAGCTGATACAGAAAAAAACGATTCGGAAAATTGACAGAATTATTACAGGTATCAAAATGCGGTATCAAAACTTAGGCTATCACCAAAATCGGCTTATTATATGATAGTATACCAAAGTTTATCAAAATATAGGTAGGTTATTTCATAACATAATATTCCTCATTGAAAGGCACTATGGTCCTCCTGGTGCTTATGGTCCTCGTTTTACTTTATCCTTAATCGAATTCTTTTCCAATAATACTGTATGCACATCATGATAAACCATGACATCTCATTTGTTCTCAGCCCTGAGATGTTTCAGGTGAAACAGAAATAAAAATGCTATGAGTATCAGAATGCTGTATGCATGGTTATCCATTGTCGACCATCTCTTGAAAGTCCATGATATCAACGTATAGTTGCATGCTGGGGGAAACCATCATTGGCACAATAATTATTAGAAAGTGGACCAAAATTGACCAACATTGACCAAAATGAACCAAAATGGACCAAGATCATTCTAATCAAGGTAAATACCTTCGACTTGCATTTGACATTATTGGGTCTTGATATCAGAGAAGATACCAATATTACGACCTACTATAATCCAATTCCAAGAAGTATTATATAACCCCTAGGTAGAGTCACTAGCCCGTGAAATGAGAAAACTGATACATGGTATTGGATGTGTCAAAGTTATCGCACTTCATATGATTCATATTATTAATAAAACCTGTTTTTTGCATCTGAAAACAGTTATAGACAATGGGGAATATAAATTAATGTTACTGAGGGCGCTATTATTTTGAACTTTGGACGGATTGTCATTGCTGCAATTGAATTAAGATGTGACGTTAAGTTTGTACAAGATCGTTTCATATAAAGACCGTACGCCAATCACAAGTTCTAGATCGGGCACATTACCATGTGTTATATATCATATGAAAGCTTGTCCAATTCAAGACTTATTTTTTGAGCTGAGCAAAGGAGTGGTATCGATTTGGTGTATTGAAGCAAATTTTAATTAGCACAGAACCAATGACAGCAACTTTAACAACTTGCTACATAATAACACGTATCACTACAAAAGGACATTCCATCGGGGAATGCCAGAGACTTAAAACATAGACCTTTAGGTATCCCCGAACAATCAGCAAGTGCAAAACACCAATATACCAGTAAGTATATAAAGTAAGTATAAAGTAAGTATAAAGTAAGTATAAAGTAAAGTAAGTATAAAGTAAGTATATGAGCATCGACAACGACGTATCGAAAAAGAAAGCAGAATATACTGTAAGTGAATATTCAAAATACAATATGAAAACACGGAAATCAGATGACACACAAAACTGTCCATGGTAAGCCTAAAAACACTTGCTTGTCAAAATGCAGGTTGCACAAACACACAAAAATGTTGAAGAAAGTCTTATATGAGTAAAAATGCAATTAGCACATCAGGAAATCCAATCAAAAACTTACCTGCTATCGAGAGTAGTATCAAAACCACAATCTTTTTGTGAGATTTCATTTTAAACAAACTATTGAGTAATCCTTATTTCATCGTCATCTTTAACGTCATTCCTCTTTCGGCTTTTAATATTTTGAATACCTTATAATTGGTTATATAATTGGATTCTGGAATCGATGGTATTAGGTCGTGAGAATAACATCTCCTCCTTTCACTTATCTCAGTGTTACGTAAATCTATTAATCTTTTAAATAAGCGCTATCCCGTATTTAATCACTAGATAATGTATTTTAGGCATTTCGTCAATTAATCATCGAGAGATTTGTGATTCTGAGACTTATCAGGTTTAGAACAGGCAGGCCAACGTAACAGCATCATGGTCTGAACTATCAAGAAATATCTCTAATGAAATCAAACTATTTAATCTCACACTATTTTTCTATCAAGTTCTAGCAGCCGTGTCAGCAGGTTTCTAAAGTTTACGGAGAACGTTCAGTTTGTTTAGCATTCTGGTATAGATGTTATCGTTCCATTGAAATGTGTTTTGCTTTCGTCGGTTCTCACATGGTCTCCCATGCAATTTAAAGTGGCAGGCTGCGAATAGAAAGTTGCAGATGGGCTGTGTATTGAAATCAGGAATGGTAAATAAAAATATGTATCTCATACCTAATGGACTTGGGATAGGTACCACCTGTAACATACATGTATATGTATGGTATATATTACAGGTGTGAATTAAGCATCTGCATGACCTGTTCCAGTCCCCAACGACTCTTCCGTCCGTTCCTTTATTCTGTTTCATTTTCCAGAATTCCTATGGATTGGTTTGTCTTGTAACTGTCCAAGTAAAACGTTCATTTCATAAACATATATTAAAAAACACGTTCATTTCCTTTAAAAGGTTACACGCACATGTGCCTATATTGGTTTTGGTTTACCATTATGCCAAAAATAATATTTGGATAACTTTAAAAATGCGATTTGAATCTTAGATTTGGTATAGACCCTTTAGGTAACTTAATGTAAAAGCCAGGATTTTTCATTTCTAATTTAGGAAAAAGATTTATCGTTGTAAGGCCAAGCAAGGTTTATGTTTTCAATGTATCATAACAGACACATTTCAAATGGATTTAATATAAGACCGATTATTAGCTTAAATATTTGTTTAGTTAAATCCAAGAAGGCAGTTACGACATCGTTGTATTTTGGGATACTTCGGGATCAACCTAATCTACTGGCAACGTTGCACAAGTGCCAATGAATGGGAAAGTATAAACAACACTGCAAGAAAAACAAAACATCTAAGAATACGCCAGGCATTAGGAAAACAAACCCAACTATCCCAAATCATAATCCAAAGTGAACAGTGTCTAATACCCTTCCCCTACCATTAAAGTACCAATATCTCAATTCGAGACCATAACACTAATAACAGGCCCGTAGCCCCTGGCCAAAAATTCTTTCAAAATCATGCAGTTTTTGACCATTTTGAGCACTTCTCAAGTGATTTTAGCCTAATTTGAGCCAAAATTGTCAAATGTGAACCCCCCCCTGGAAATTTTTGAAAATTGAACCCCCCCTTGGCAAATCCTGGCTACGGGCCTGAATAAGAGACATTTCATTCATACTGAATTCATTGCAATAATACGTGTTGAAGAAGCCAATACTCAAACATTAATAGTTGTATATACATGTACCATAGTATTCATACAAGACTGAGCATTTAGTCCCAAATGATGTGGGACAGAAAAAATTCAATCTCGAAGTCCATAAGCGTATCAAAAACTCACATCCATCAGCAACGCAGACGCCATAATCCATGAAACACAATATTTCACAATGGTCATCGGGAGAAAACTATTTTAGAATGGAAAACTGTGGCTGGTTTCGATCCCTATTTCTCAGCCATTAACGCCATAGCCGGGATTCATCTGAAATGATGCCAAGTGAAAAAATGTGAGTTATGGTGCCAATTTTAAACAATACCGACAAGATCTAGACATGATCAGATGGTTTAGCTAGTTAAGATGGATGATTTTTGCGGTGGTATTTATGAAGTTACCCAGAGACGCAGTCCGAATTCAGAAAAAATTCCATGAACTACGTGGCATATTCCAAATGCTTTTTTAAATTTATTCAAATGCGAATGCCTATAGTGAAGAATTTGAACATAATTGCAGCTTGCTAAACCAAATAGCTCGGCTGTTTCGGAATATGTACAGGCCTCTTTAGACTTCCATTCAGGCGGTCGTCAGTTCCGACCGCGCTATATCCACGTTGCCTCCACCCGAATCATGTTCTCACGACGCGAATATTGATTCTTTAGTCGCGAACCACCAGATCCTCCCCCTCGAACTTATTTCTCCACTCGCGCTTCGAGTTCCCAAATCGCACCCAAACAGTGGAAGGAACGTGGATAGTGAGGTCGGAACTGTTGACCGCGTGAGTGGAAGTCTAGGAGGCCCGATGAAGTGTTTAACAACTGGACAGAAGTCACTTGGTGTTCAAAATTCTCGATTTTTAGAAAGATCATAAGACGAACATTCCTTTGTTGAGATCGATGGTGTTTTTTCTCTTGAAGTGTTTCTAAATGTTTCATCCTTTATAACCAGGTTTTACAGGATTGAATTATAAAGTCGTTTATTGTTCGCTGTGTTTGCACTGTACCTTTTGTTGTCTTAAAGCTATTTCCTATATCATTCCCCAAGCAGACAGGCGTCATGTCATTTGGGTAAATTGCCGTTTTTCACAAAACTACCTTTATTATCTGATTTTAAGTTTATAAAATGGGTAATGCAGGGTAATTATGAATCATATGGTTTAATGTGTTCTGGCACGAATTAATATCTGCTCTTTCTCTTTCAAAAGCAGCGATCTCAAACGTTGTTGAAATTTCAGATGGCAAAATGAAGGCGTTTAATGAATTATTACGAGTTAGTGTCAAAGCAAATCTGGAATTTAAAATTATACATTTACGATTTCCATTTTATCATAATAAAATAAAGTTTTGGACTCCCTGGTATACTAGCTAATTCTATATAGTCCACATATTTTGTTTTCTGTAATAAACAGTTAAACCTCGACATTCGCAAGTCCATCAGTTGACGAACTTTCGGACCCTGTCGCCGACGACTTTTCGCTGGCTCCACCCGATACATTTTTTAAGCGAGGACTAAGTTTAAAGGGTGACACCTTTGGTGTTTTTTCCGATTCAGATGGCTGATTTTCAGTTTCTTTTTCTTCATTCATTTTCTTTATGGCTCTCAGCTGTGACATAAGACCTGCTTGTATTTGTCTCTTTTTGTTGAGTCCTAAAAGGGCGTATAACTTTTTGACGTAGTTTTCTGGCCACATAGGCCAATCCAAGGCGTTCAAAACCAAAGTCAATCTTGGTTTTAATGATGGAGTTACTGCAATAAAAATCATTTACGTTAGCACCCAATAGTTAATGTCAATTACATCATCTAACGTAATGGACCCAAAATTGTGTCACGTCGATTGAGGACTGAGAGGTGGATTGGACATTTCCAAAAATTGAAATGTTTGATGGGGCCCATCGCGTATACAAATATCATGAAAATAAAGCTCATATTTTGTATATATAAGGTGACTCTGTTAAAGGATTTAATAGATTTACTGTGCAGAGAGTCTTCTGTATACTAGACTCGGGATACTAACCAGCAACAGAGTGCCATATAAGCCTTTGTACATTCAAACGGAGGTTCAGAATTCTGCCCACTCACCTAAAAGCTCTCTCATAATTGGTACGTTATCATCTATTAGCACGGTCAGCGCATAAGCTGCCCAACGTGCACACCTCTCGTCGTCGTTCTTTAACACCAGCTCTAGGAGAACACTAGCTCCCCCTAACTCAGCCCGTTTCATTTTATCTTGGATCTTCCTATTGCGATACAAAATTTCACTCAGAGCTTGGCATATTGCAGATTTCATAGAGGGCTGAGCGTCGTCGCTACGCAGGATCTCAAGCATGTCGGGTATCAATTCGCTTGCGCAGTTCGAGGCTTCTAATCCACCTAGACATTTGACAGATTAAAAACGTAAAAATATGTATTTTTTCGCAAAGGTAATTCAACAAAGGATTGAAAATCGATCCCCACAAGAAACAAATTGCTACATTTCAATGACAGTTGATTGGTCTGTCATATCTGAGAAAATTACCGAGATGCGAGTAGGTAGTTACATTTTCACACCGGGTGACTGATTCGGGGTAAATAAAATGGCAGGGCATTTGAAGGGTCCCTCAAACTTGAATATTCATCACTTTTAGTAGTGGTTCTCTCAGGAGATAGCTTTGTGCAAACTAAGTAAATGAGATCAATGAGGTATATGTAATTTTACATGTAGATTTCAAATATGATATCATGAGTGAATTCTTGATTTTTAATAGCGTATTTCTGCTCGCATCTAGTCTATTGGCTCAGTACCTTGACACACACCCTCACCTGTATACCCGTTATGGCCAATTCTTTTCACAGCTTCCTCACGTTCCTCTTGAGCGGCAAATGAATCACGAAATATGGATGCGTTTTTGAAGATCTCTTTTTTGTACAAGTTTTCTTCGTTTGCCCAAGGAGGGTCGGTACGTTCAGTCTGATCTCCTAACAAATGCTGTGCTGCTTTCCTGACATAGTTTAAAACATTAAGCTGCCGAAATTGAATCATTTTCTGACGTTTACATTGAGCTATGAAAATACGTTCAGTCCTTCGTGTCAATTATTTCTCTTTGCGTTTTTCTGTAAATGTAAATCTATTGTATTTGTGTACTAGATTCTGTATTGTGATGTCACAATGTTGGCTCATATCCACATGTCATATTTTGATTTACTAGAACACGCCTAAATAGAGATTATCCTATATTAGGTTCAGGATATTGGGATTTTCCCGAGGCCAATATAATATATCTGCCCAAGGGCCGTACCATTTATAAGGAATGTTTTGAAAGGTGGTCAATTTTTTTAGAAGATATATTATATTGGCCAAGGGATAATCCCAATATCCTGAACCACGGACCTCTGCCAGATAAGCTCCTCTGTGTCTAGGCTCAATAACCAACAGGGGCTGGATCTGGCTCCGGATATGTGTCCTGAACCGACTATAGGATGATTTGTTTATCCCATACAAATCACATTGTTCAATTGTTGCAACCAACCGTGGAATTAGTTGCTTGATGTCCAGTTTTGTATTCTTGTCCGTGGCCGGATTTTCCGGTTCAAATGTTTTATTATTAACGGGGCATACTGCTCCTTCCCTTCTTTAAAGCATCAAACAGATCGCGATTGTCTGCGTTTTTCTCCATTATCGTTTACAGTATGCGAACGTACAAAAAAGAACCAATACGGGAACAGCGATTATGACGTTGCGGGCAGATATACTATATATATACTTTATAACATACCTATGATGATGTATAGTGCAAAGTGTACATAAGACAGCGGGCCAATATAAGTTTTGAAAAGCCCGCGCCCGCTAACTTTCTGATTGGTCAAGGCGCTGACGTCATAACCAATCAATCGAAGATTAAACTGCATGAGCAATTTTTCATTTCAATCATTTTCAAACCATTTGTTAATCAATTCTATAAGAAAACTGTACTCTCTGACCAGTCTACATTATCATAGGTATGTTATACAGTGTGTCCCAAAAAAAAGGAAACCGGCAATAGATTGCTTATTTCTCAAATATGAATAATAATAGGAAAATTTCACAGCTACCATCTGATAGGTTATGATGTCCTTTTTCTTATGATACCAAAGGTGTTTATTTTTCTTTACGGATGACTGAGTTATAAGGGATTTAAGTGACCATGTCAGAAATTGGTTTGTGCCACTTTTTCTGTCATGAATGGCTGAACAATGAGGGATTAAAATGGCTATGCAAGACAGATCCCCAGACCTGACACCCTGCGACTTCTTCCTTTGGGGTTATCTCAAGGGTAAAGTATTCACAACACCACCAAGAGACGTTGATGATCTAAGGGCCAGGATTGTCGCAGCAGTGGAGGATTTAAGGGGACAGAGAGACATCATCGGGGATGCCGTACGTGCGATGAGATCAAGGGCAGACATTTGCATTGAAAGGAATGGGGGTCATGTTGAAGGACATTGGGGTTAAAACAACTTTGAATGGACATTGGGATTTAAAAGGGGTGTTAAATATGATATGTGTAATCTTAATTGGAATAAATGAGTAAAAGAGTGATATCCTGATGTTTGTTGTTACTTATCACTTTGTTATGATGGTGAAATTGACTTGGCTGAAAGTGGTACAAACTCATTTCTGACATGGTCACTTAAATCCCTTATAACTCAGTCATCCGTGAAGGAAAATAGACAACTTTGATATCATGAGAAAGAGGACATCATAATCTATCAGATGGTAGCTGTGAAATTTTCCTATCATTATTCATATTTGAGAAATAAGCAATCTATTGCCGGTTTCCTTTTTTTTGGGACACACTGTAAATCGTTTATGTCACTATCGTGGCACATATGCCCTCGGTTCTCAGAGATCAATGTCCCTCCCAAGGTCGGGCCATATATCACTGAGACCTCGGGCATATATGCCACGATAGTAACATAACCTCTAAATATCTGCCCGCTCGGAGCGGGACGTAAAGCTTTATCTGCCCGCTGATGAAAATATAAGTTTTTACAAACCGGCTTTATGTACCCGTAACACGTCCAAGTATGGTATAAATAGGGGTTATGCACTGGGAGGTTTTGGATACAGGGAATATCCCGAGGGATATACAATATATCTTCCTAAGGGACCGAAGGGACCGAGGGAAGATGTATTTTATATCCCAAGGGATATTCCATGTATCCAAACCGACCGTGCATAACTGGTGTATCTCATACTTGAGTGGGTTTAGGGTAGATATAACCTTTTCCACCTTTTTCAAATGACAAGATATTTATATTTAACATTTTCGTAATATTCTTTTTGTTCAATACAATGAAATTATAACATTTAAACTTAAAAAAATTAAATTTTAAAATTAAAAATTAAAATTTTTGATATTTAAACTTTCTTAAACCTTTGAAAAATTCCCGGGAGCGGGATGGATATATTATATCTGCCCGCATTTGGCCTGGAGCGGGACATATACAATATATCCTGCCCGCTCCTCAGATATGATATATATTCCCGAGTGATATCTACCCCAAACCCACTTAAGTATGAGATACGGGGATATATAATATACACTGTAAATAGCGTTTCAATTGTTTGAATCATTTTAATCAGTTCAATCGTTACAATGCTGCATCATTTCCTACGTTTCAAGCATTTCGGCTGCCAGTTTATACACCCCTTACGCATAAAACGCCATGGCGTACTCTCAAAATAGAGAAAAGTTGACTTCTTTTAAACGGGTTCATGTTATTATGCCCAAGAACACTCCAATTGCAATTATATTTTTTCAAATTTTCTTGGGGGGGGGGGGGGCTCCTCAACCCCCTCCCCCTCAAAGCTCGTTTGCACGCTACTATACGCTACAGGTTGTTATGTTTGAAGCAAAAATTGTGATGTAGGTTTTAAAAGATTTATCTTAGTAATATGATGAATTGTTTATTATATGTTTTATTTCGTGTGCATGCTCTTGGCAAGATTTTCTGGTCCATGGTTAATAATAGATTCTCGAGCAGTGCTCGAATTTTTCTAGTGAATCCACCCACATTTATAATTGACCGGTTGGAAAAATATTGGTTATATTCACATGGGACGTGGGTGGAATTACCTAGAAAATACTCGTGCTCTGCTTGAGAATCTGTTAAAAGTCTTATGGCGTGTAGGTCAAAAATTCAAATTAACGGTCGAAGTTAGGACCGCGTGGTAAAATTATTGCTTATGAAATGCGTGTGAAGACCAGTTCTATTTCAAATCATTGGACGTATATCAACAAATTGAAAAAGTGGCAATTTTTCAAACAAAAAGTCATCTTCGTTTTGAAACGTTCACTGGCACGATACAATTTGGTAAAACCTCAATACAATCGATGGGCCTGTTACAATATCATAATATTGGGTGAGAAAATTCACACAGCTAGGCAAGGTGTGTGTGATTCTAACCGATCCTAATACAGTATTTCATGTAACGGTAACACCCATCATCGCACCCGATGTCATTCGTTGAATGGTTGTCAAGGTGACAACTTGACAACTTGACTCTCAAGATTGATATTGATGTTTTGCCATCTTGACCCTTGCAAAAATTGATTGAAAATATGTTTTCATTGATTTCCTATCTTTTAGGTGATTTCGTAGAAAATATTTTGCAATGTGTGAAAAGAGTTTAGCCAAAGCTGAAGCTTGATGCATTGTGTCAGGCGTTCCACGATCAGGCGTTGTTTCCTAAATGTTGCATTCCCGCTGCGTTGTCATGCAAAGATTTGAAAACATCTTCAGAGGAATGATCCAGTCCGGGGATTCAGTTCACAATTAATGCACTTAAGATTAGTTCAGAACTTAAATCCTAACCAAAGTACTAATTAACGTTTCACCCCGGCCCGCTGTTCAAGGGACTTTTACAAAGCTGTCGGATTGAAGAATTTTAAGTCTTGATAATTTCTTGATAATTTGGTTTACATCAGTCAAAATAAAATCAATTTGGGTTGTTCCTTTAATAACGGACTTTAGCCAATATAGATTTTCCCGGGAATTTTTAAATGCCCCGCCTCTCTTTTGACAATGGAATATGGACCGATCCTTTCACAGGAGCATATCGGTATCAATTTTCATGGTAAGTCTAAAATCAGTAATCGAATTATGTCACATTTTATATTATATTGCGGTGACGATCCGTTCATTAGGCTATCTTACCATTACTAATATAACAGTTTAAGTACTCAGTATGACATATTTGTGCAAACTAATTGATGAGGTGAAATATGGTCTAAAATCCGAAAAATACTCTATTATCGCCCATCAATATTTTCATTATTTTTATATTTTTAATTGACACGTCATGTTATATTTAGACGATACATATCGGTATTTTATTTTTCTTTGTTTGTTTATCATCCCACTGAGAGATATATACTCCTTCTTTTTTACCTTCTTCTAAGGCCACTGTATCGTGGCCTTCCTGGAAAGATAATTCCCTGCATGAACAATTGGTCATGTCGTAATCATAAAATTTGAAATCATATGTCCGCCATTTTTCCACATCACAATTTGAATTGCGAGTTTTGGTCTTATTACCTCACCAAAAATTCCAAAACACACATGAAGTGATCAGTGTATTAGTTCACATCTTCTGGATCGCTAACTTAGAATTTACAGCCAGTTACTAATGTCAGACGTTAACTACATTTCGTCCAGTTTTCGAATATCGCCATTTTGTTTTAATTTTAAACGAAATCCTGACGAAATTTGTAATATCTCATCAAGGAGCCGAGCCGGTTCCGTTTTAATTAATGATTTATTTATCTGGTGATTTTTAAAATATTCAATAAATTTATGACACGGCGGCCAGCTTTTTTCAAATGGAGTTCACAGTATTCCAGATGAAATCACCTCTAGCCAAGTATTGGCTAGAGACTCGAGTAACTTCTTCATCCATCAGTATCCCGGCCAATAGCTCAAATCATGGGCATTCAATAGAAAGTCCATGTTCTAATTCAGACAAATACATGTACATTCATCCCAGTGTTATTTCTTGTTTTGTTTTCATCATTTGTTATTTTATGTTTGTACAGCAATTTTCTCTGATAGGTTAAATTGCCAGAAACACTTTCCTGGTCTGTCTGTCTTAAAGCTCCACTTACCATAACATTTACCCTGGGCGTCAAATAGAAAGTAAACTATATGTACATGTAAATGAATCTTAAATGCAGGAGCAGAAAAAAAGTAATGGACATGAATCTCATTTGAATTATGAGTTATTTACATGTACATGTATAGCTAATCCAATGTTTAAATTTCAGCTACAGTATCAATATGGGTGATAACTTAAAAGGCAATCCATTTGCTAGTTTATTTCCCAGCCTTGAGAAAGCGCAACAGTTCAGCCAAACTCAAGCTCATGCAGGTGAGTTTAATTGATGTTCATTGGTCTTGAATCATAGAGTCCCATGATCAACATCCACTCCAGAAGATGTTTAAATTTTAATGTTTTTTTTTGGACAAAATGGTTTTGTAGAATGTCATTGAAACATCAAATAAAGAATTTTCTGTTTGATTCAGAATACTAGCACTCAAAAACTTATCACATCTCCCTAGCATTAAAGCAAGTGGGCATAGCACCCATCTGAGATTTTAAAAACAGGCTTGCTCCTTCTTGAAAATCCATTTATTCCATGCACTTGAAAATGAGAAAAATCATAAAAAATTGGCATATTTTAGCCTGAATTGTGAAAATGAAAATTTTGCACCCACTAGTGTGACAAATCCTTTGGAGGACTGTATACTGATTTATTCCATAATACTTCTGTTTTCCCAGGGAAATATGAAGGAACAAAAATCGTATTATCCCCAGAAAAAAATCGTATGGAGTGTATTACATGAAAAGATCATATTTTCCCAGAGAAAAATCATTTTGGAGCATATTAACCTACTGGTTATTTTTTCCTGGTTATTTGCATTATCCAAATGTAGCATTTTAATTCTCAAAGACCAGTGTGCTCTTACCCTGCCACCTATCTTACAAAACATGACTTTGAATGAAAAAATCATAGAATTAAAGGTAGCAGTGAAAGGTCACGTTACTAAATCATTACAGGTTCAATACAACTTGAATGAATAAAAGTACCTGCACAGTGTACAGGTGTATTAATTTCAATCATGAATATTTATAGCAGCCATAGTGGAAAAGCAACCAATTGTGTCAAATGAGCCAGTTGCAGTCCCGTTGCCAAAAGCAAGTGATAAAGAAGCAACAGTTGATGATGAAGATATAACTGATGTAGATTTGGAAAAGTTAGAAGTGAACAACCTGCTGGAAAGTGTCTTCCTTATCACACTGGATAAAGGTAAACATTTACTCTATATATCTATTCAACAATGTTCTTTAAATGGGTTGCTTTGACTAACATGTACATTACAAGATGGCCCTACGGATGCAATTCTACTGTACATGTATTTAAATGCTCCAAGTTAAGATTACTGAACTGGGCTCCTTAATTTAATTTACAGTAAGACATTAATATCCAAATATCTATATTTTTATTCAGAAGTTACTGGGTATGGCAGGCGACCATGTGAATGTGTATTTCTGGAGGATTTACACGTTTCCTTAAAAGGGCAGGATTGGCTGGATTTTGATTGTCTTGAACAGGTATGTAACCTAAAAGCTGAGTTCAACTGGTTTGTGTTTCAGTATTTCCTTCTCTTTGGCCCTATTTGTGCCCTTTAAATGCCTTTCATTCTATCAATTATCAGGGAAAGTTTGAGACTTTGTAGTCATATATCTGAATTAATAAGGGTCCAGGGCTGTGAATTCAGCTACACTGTAGTTATATTGTTATAGTCTCCAACGTTATCGCGGATGGTGTCCGGCAGTTTGTGTCCGGCATTCGGGAGTCTGTAACAAATGGCAGGTGGTGACATTTTGTTTGTTATTTGCTTGTTAGTGCCTTGTTCTAATCTGGGCCAGCTAATTTTCAGCATGTACATTCCTATATTTTCATATTTTGATAGCTGGTCTGTTTTTCAGTTTTAACAGTTTTGACAGCGATCACTGTTCTTACCATCAAAAGAGTAGCCAGGCATTGACATCTACTGAAAATTCAAATGTTACATGTCAGATGTCACCCCATATGTAGCGCTCTGTCAGGGATAAAACATTGCAATATTTATGTAAAAATTAAATTTAGCACACTGTTGACAAAAAGCCTGGTGAGATACCTGGGTCTGACATCCATGAAGAACACCCTCCTCTCCTAAGAAACCCTTCAATAATGATAATCAAATGTTAATGACTGTGTACTATAATGAATATACAGCTACTCATATGTTACAGGCTGTATTTGAGAGGCTTATGATGCCTGAACCTACAGACCATGTTATACGCACCACCACTGGAAGACCTAACCCAAGGGAACTTGGAATAGCTGGGAGAGATCAACCCTTGAGATATCTGTATGAATGCTTTAAACGATCACTCAGTGAGATAAAGTCGACCAATGATGGCCACATTGCAATGCTCCAGGAGGTAAAACCTGATATTATTATGACCTGAGAATGAAATTGAAAATTTCAAATAGCTGTTTTTTGGTTGGTTTTGTCATCACTTAGATTCAACACTCAGCTAGATCTCAAGATACATGTACAGGATCTTCATATGTAGTTAGATCAGGGGTCCCTTCCCACCATTTATTTTATTTTCAATTCAACAATATCAATTTTAATTTCAAAATGTTCACCCTAATTAACTGTGAATAAGACCATTAATTTGATTTGTTTTTTCCAAGAATCATGCTATTTGAATGTTAGTTATAAAAAATAATATCTGTTACCATGGCAATGAATCATCATCTTGAGAGATCAAAGGCTTCTATCAGTTCCATTCTTTGCAAGCTCTAAATGGTCAAAGTATCAGGTTGATGAATCATGAGACATTTGTTCCAATGTGATAAATTGAGAGGCCATGGTCAGCTTAACTGATACACAGTGATAACCTTTAAGCATGTAAGAGACATCTTCAGAATTTGGGCAATAACAGTTACCATGGCAACAAATTAAAGGACTTACACTAAGATAAGTTCTCCAATAGAATATGCAACAAGATATTTTGATATGGGAATGCCTCATTTATTTATTGTAGTCATGCTTCAAACCCCCATCTATTTTAACAGCCTGTTGTTGAAGTAGATATGGGGGGGTCCAGGGTCTTGAATCAAGATTACATTTACTGCTGTATTAAAATTGCTACTAAATCATTGTTTCTATGATATCTATGATTTATGACAAATAACCACTTTTGATTTTATTTTTTCCTTTAATAAAAGCCTCATTTGCGTTCAGTCATCGAACAAGATCAGACAAATAAGCAGTCACATAAAAGTGCCATTAAAAGCATAGAATCTCTGTATTTATCCCTTAATCATTTTGAAAGGATATAATTTGAAGGCTATACGTCATTCTCATTACTATTTATAGACAGATTTTGTAATTATGTAGGTTAATCTGTAAATTCTGATTATAATCTCTAAAATCTTTATTTTTATACATGAACATGAGACATGTGATATTATGAAGTTATCAATAAATCATGTCATATTTTGATACTTCAGAGAAACTATAATATATTGGCTAGATTGATAATGTCATAATGGTTGTAGGAAGCAATCTGTCCATACAAATTAGTATTAACTTATCGCAAATTTTGAAAAAAGTACAACCTATGACATCATCAATCGAGCCAATATATTGTAGTTTTTTGATCAAAAGGTGGATGGCATGATCTGTTGGAAATGTCTATCTTGAGATTAAAATACAATGTATATTTATTGATATAGGTGATACTGATGAACTCAAAGACTTGCATGCAGCATCCAGAGTTCTTTACAAGGGTAGAACCAGCTAAGCACTTTTTGGAGATCTTCCTAGAGGAATTTTCCAGTTCAGGTATTGTAAAGTTCACATTGTAAAGTTTAGGTATTGCAAAATTCAGATATTCTTATGCATTGCTCATGCATTTTTAGTTCAAGTAAATTTTCGTTCATTCAATATTTTATTTTTGAATTCTAATATAAAATAAATATTCATTTTAGTTAACCAATATCCATAAATTAAGAACAAGAATGACGTATATATTTGATCTGACATCAACTGTATTCATAACCGTATTTTAGATGCAGAAGCTGTGTGTGAATACTTTGAACGAGTTAGTATGGCGATAGATAATGAAAGTGAAGAGGGGTCTGTATTTGATTGCTTCTGGCCAGTCTTTGATGAACTGAGGAATAAATTCCTAAAAGATTTCACACTCAGTCACAGTTTGCTGTTTAGATATATAGATGTAGTGACTTTTTTCTCAAGGAAGGCATGGTTGGCAGAGGTGGGTAAAGTACAGGAAGGTGTATCACATGTATGTGTGATGCCAAGTACATAATAACTTATTTTTTATAGAATTAATGATTCAACATATATACAAGTAACAAAATTTCACTTTATTTAGATCTTGTAGTCCAGTTCTTAAATGTAAGTTGTATATGCATTGATTAAAGTTCAAATTGACAGTTATATACATCGAAATGTGATTTTACTTTCATGTATATATTAAAATTATTTTTACCTTACAGGCATTCATGAAACATATCATCCCGTCAAATCTGACCAATGGGAAGGCTTATGAAGATTCACTTCTTGGACTGATCATAGCTAAAAGCTGTATTGCAAAAAATGATGCAGGACCATATGAATTTTTCGACGAACCCTCCAGAACCAGCCAGCGTGATCATGACATCACAGAGGGTAATATCTGGCAGGTAGGTCAAAATACAGTATTTTTGAGTTTCTGAATCAATAAATTATGTCAATAATGAAATTATTAGAAATCCTAATGGAAAAGCCTGAAATGGAAATTTCACGAGTTGAGATATATTGGATGTCTCATGAACAAGACAAAATTGGTGAGACGTTCGCTCTTAACTTAATCTTATTTAATTTTTCTTTTTTCCTCACCCTGCAATTATTAATCAACTGGCTGATAATGCCTCAAGCAAAGCCACTACAAGTTTACAATGTATATGTGTTTATAAAATAAATCTTAATCGTTGTCCTTGATTTAATAAAATAACAGAAACCTTTTAATTCTTGTTCATTTAAAGGCTAAAGGTCTTCTTATTTCTAGATTTTTACCATTCCAAAATTTTCCCCTGAAAATATTCAAAATCTTTTCCAGATTTTTGGGAGAAACATTTGAAATGTTAGGAAATCTCACAAAACATGCTTACTTTTTATTTCTAAATACATACATTATATCTTTGGATTGGTTATATTTTAGGCTCTCAGTATGGTCCAGGAGAGAGTGTACCAGATTATCTACAATCTACTGAAAGCAAGTCCACAGGCAAAACATGATATTCTCAGTTGGCTGGGCAACTGCATGAAAGCTAATACAGGTAATTGAAACACTCTTTTAAGATATTTGTTGACTCAATGTCATGTTTCTCATTTTGTGATTAGTTAAATATGCATCACATGACATAGAAATATCTTGTGGTATTTCCTTGTTGCGCCAATTGTTCATTGGGTATTTATTGAGGCTCACTTTCCTCCACTTTGTTTTTAACGGCAGGTCATAGTAATGGCAGACCATAATGAATATACGAAACATTTTGGTGAGTTTTCATGTTTCGAATCGTAATATAGACCTCAGAGCAGGGGTAATATCGTCGAATACACCCCTTAGGGCTAGGCACAACACAGAAACAGAAAACATTTGTGCGTAGCCCTGCGGGGTGTATTCAACAATATTACCCCTGCTCTTCGATCTATATTTCTTAAATATAGGGCCATTATGGATGTTATGAAGCATACTAAAATTACACACTTTTATTTACTACATCTAATGAACCTTGCAGGTCGGGCAAAAATCTGGTCTTCCCAGATGCCAGCGATATTTGGTACAATGTATGCTTCAGATGGCTTTTACATGAATTTATGTGGGATCCTGTTAAAACTTTGTCAGCCATTCAGCCAGCCTTGTTCACCAAAATTGTTGAAAATCCAGCCAACATACTGTAGAGTTGTTGTACCTGCTGGTGAAACTAGGCAAAGATCCATACATATGACAGGTAAGGTTTACACAATTACATGTACACTTCTTATAATATTTCACAAATCATTGTAAATACCATTATGTGGCACCTAATACTCCCTCTTGGGGGTCATACCCACTACAACCTGTAGATATGATACATTGATTTTAATTAAAAAATTAAAAAAAGAAGGATGTTAGCACTTGTTTTAGGGAAATCTGTTGTGTTCAGTATTGGTACCTGGACTTTCTAATTTACATACCTTTTCTACTCCAGTTGAACCTATATATCTGAACACTTCTCTAATCTGAAACCTCTCAATTTAACATTTTATTATTATCCATTGGCTCACATATTTAGAAAACCTCTCAATGTGAACACATTTCATTATCATCCATTGACTCACATATTTAGAAAACCTCTCAATGTGAACACATTTCATTATCATCCATTGACTCACATATTTAAAAAACCTCTCAATGTGAACACATTTCATTATCATCCATTGACTCACATATTTAGAAAACCTCTCAATGTGAACACATTTCATTATCATCCATTGACTCACATATTTAAAAAACCTCTCAATGTGAACACATTTCATTATCATCCATTGGCTCACATATTTAGAAAACCTCTCAATGTGAACACATTTCATTATCATCCATTGACTCACATATTTAGAAAACCTCTCAATGTGAACACATTTCATTATCATCCATTGACTCACATATTTAAAAAACCTCTCAATGTGAACACATTTCATTATCATCCATTGACTCACATATTTAAAAAACCTCTCAATGTGAACACATTTCATTATCATCCATTGACTCACATATTTAGAAAACCTCTCAATGTGAACACATTTCATTATCATCCATTGACTCACATATTTAGAAAACCTCTCAATGTGAACACATTTCATTATCATCCATTGACTCACATATTTAAAAAACCTTGAAATGTGAACACATTTCATTATCATCCATTGACTCACATATTTAGAAAACCTCTCAATGTGAACACATTTCATTATCATCCATTGACTCACATATTTAGAAAACCTCTCAATGTGAACACATTTCATTATCATCCATTGACTCACATATTTAAAAAACTTTGAAATGTGAACACCTGGTTATTCAAACATTTTTTACCAGTCCCAGTGGTAGGATTAGAGACAGTTTTTACTGTATATATTTTTTAGAGAATAGAGTATGAGGGACTTATAATCATCAGAAATTCCAGGCCATTATTCTAAATAATATTAGTTTCATCATTTAGGTTTTAAACCATTATTGACAAATCAGCAAACCTCTCTGTTATGAAAACTGGTAAACAGATTTATGCATTTAATTTAATTTCAGATTTGTCAGAAGAAACGTGCATGGTGCCAAGTGAGGAAAATGAGAGACCAAATCCTGATGAAACCTACTCATTTGTAACAGAGTGCTACTACTTAGCACACAGGTGCCTCAATTTAGGCTTTCACGTGTGTCTAGAAAAATTCAAGAATTTAAATCGGACTTTACATGATATACAAAATGTATGGGTTGAAATACGAAACCAAGGAGCAGAAAATACTGATCCGGGAAGAAAGCTGCAACAGAGAATGGATAAAGGTTGGTTCTTGTGGTGACATATTGTTATAGTCTTCAACATTTTGTGGTGTTCGGCAGTCAGTGGGTATTTGGCAGTTGGCATTTGGGGTTAGGCAGTCAGCATCTATAACAAGTGGTAGATGGTGACATTTGCATGTTAATGCCTTGTTGGAATATGGAGTGATTTATTTAAAGTAGAATATACTCTTAGTCTTAGTGGAAGCTAAGTGGAAGCACATCTATTTTATCACCCATCTAAGGCTACTGTGGTATTGCAATATATCATAAAATAAGATGGGACAAAAGTCTAAGATTTTATTTTTAGAGTGATGTAACTTTCATCACAGCAAAGTACAAAATATTGTTTTCAAAAGCAATATTTTCACATAAGCAATTAATTTTGTTTTTCAGTTATGGCTGCATTCCTTAGTCTAAAAGCAGCGATGACTGATCCTCAGCTATTAGAACTCAGTCTTAATTTCCACATAGCCTCAGCAACCTGGCTCTGTCAGCTAGCAACCAATGAAAATCTCAAAGAGTTCCTACCAATTACATTCCCACTATCAGACAACGTGCCGTATCACTTAAAATGCATCCCAGAGTTCTTAATGGATAATACAACAGAATTCATGCAGTTTCTACGTCGATTCAAAGACTCAATCTATGAGGTGAGCTATATGCTTTGCATTGAGGACTCATCAATTGTTAAAATGTTAAACATTTAAAGTACTTCAAGAGTCAATAAAATCTGTAATCGAATCTGTGCCATTATTTAACATTATCTATGAAAATATGAAATGCAAAGTCACAAAACTCCTCATAAAAGTGTCTTTTCCCAGAACTTGTCAATTGACCAGGTATATGAGGCCTGATCAGAAAGTAAGTAACCAACTGCTCTTATTTATGACATATTCGAGATTGATTATTAGTCATGACTTTTGCAAATTGCAAATTATTAATCCTATAGGTAGCTGGTGAGAAGCTGAATCATTTAATGACTCTCATCCTGGTGTTTATGGGGAGCCCAGAGCGCATGAAGAATCCTCACTTACGTGCGAAAATGGCTGAGGCCTTAGAGGCACTGCTTCCTCCAAAGGAAAGAGAATACAGTATGGGTATCATTGGCAAGTAAGTCCATAGCAACACATTTATGTTATTTCATGAACTTCCTCATGAATGAATTTTCCTGAATACAGTTATGCATTTTGGAAACTGTTTTTACGTCACCACCAGAAATGGGGAGTCAGTGGTTGGTGTTCGGTGTTCAGCGTTTATAACAAATGGCTGGTGGTAAAATGTAGCATGTTACTGCCTTGTTGTCAATACCTTGAAGTTGTAATTTCTTAAAGCAAACTTGTAACTGATGTTTGTCAACATAGATAAACCTGTAGATTCCTAGTCCATGAAACTCTTACTTTATTTTCAGTTTCAACAGAGAACACATATTCCACTCACATCCACATATCCAGTATCTGGCGCAGACTCTGATTCATGTGTTTGTCAGCATTGAGACGACAGGCGAGAGTGTTGAATTTGAACAGAAGTTTAACTATCGTCGTCCAATGCTGCAAGTTCTTGATTATATGTGGGAGATTGAGATTCACCAAAAAGCAATACGGGTATGTACGTACAATGTAATTCAATGAGCAATGTAATTCACCAATGTACAATGTAATTCAATGGGATGGATTGAGTGTTGGTTTATTCATGCTGCAAGTTCTTGATTATATGTGGGAGATTCACCAAAAAGCAATATGGGTATGTACGTACAATGTAATTCAATGAACAATGTAATTCACCAATGTACAGTGTACAATGTAATTCAATGGGATGGATTGAGTGTTGGTTTATTCATGCTGCAAGTTCTTGATTATATGTGGGAGATTCACCAAAAAGCAATATGGGTATGTATGTACATTGTAATTCAATGAACTATGTAATTCACCAATGTACAATGTAATTCATAGTGTGTGCCAAAACTCCAGAAAATCACAAAAACCTATGTTGTGGTAGCTTACTATGAACCGACCCATTATCATTATAGATTGGTCCATCAACTATTCATTTTTACTTGTCTGCACTCAAAAAGGTGACACGAAAGGGCTAAACGGCTTGCACCAAGGTGCAACCATCAAAAAGATGAGTTTGATAAAAAAATATTTTTTTCAAATAATAGCAATGGATATACAATATAGGAGGCAAATTTGATATTGATAAGTATGATAGTCCATTTGCGTGTGGCCATTTTTATAAAAAACAATAATTGTGAAGAATTATATATTTCTGACCTGAAAAAACCATCTTAATTCAAAAGTCATGGTTGTTAATGATAATATTCCTATTTCACCTATTGAATGTTTTCAAAATATTTTAATTACTATTATATTCATTTTTGGCAAAGTAAATAAATATAGGGCTCACACAAGGATCAACTTTATTTGCAATATTTTCATATTTAGTGATGTTTTGAAAAAATATAAGGTTTAACATAATTTTATTTGTTAAATGTTTAACAAAATAAACAGAGTGTGTTTATTTCATTGTTTTGACTGAAAAATCGCAATTCATTGCTCTTCCTGTTAGAACGGCAGGGGATATACAAGTACATAAACAGTCTTAAAAAACGTTGATCCTTGTGTAAGCCCTACACTTATTTACTTTACCAGAAATTGATATAATGGTTATTCGTCGGTATGAAAATCATTTCAATGGTAAAATTGGAAGAATGTCATTGAACTTGGAATAAAAAGCATTATATGGTTAGAAATACCCAATTTTTACCATAATTGTTTTTAATAATATAATAACCATACCCTCATGGACTATCTTTACATTTCAATAACCAATGTGCATTATATTTTGCATGTTTTACTGCAATTATTTGTAAAAATATTTTTAAATCTTACATTCTTGACTGGAAAGTGAAGAGACAATACTCAAGTATACTCATATTATTGGTCACATTTGGTTATTTCACCCAAACAGAATCGGGATTTTTTAGTCCAGTCATATGAAGAAACTAGTGTGAATTAAATGGTCATATTATACAATACAATACAATACAATACTGATCCAATTCAGAATTATAAGAGAAAGTAACTCTCGTGGCTGTTGATTACTGATTGCAGTCATTAAACTAATGACCTCATATTTGGATGTCCTCTCTTCTGATATGATTCACTTCAAATTGACAAAGGACCAGGTATAGTATGGCAAGTGATATCTGATCGTCATATATTTTACCATGACTACTTTCTTAATATAAATATGACATTTCTCAAAAACACAATATGTTATCTTTCAAGAAAATTCAATTCTCAATGATTATAAAAATATCATTCAAACAATCTAAAAACTATGAATGGGTAACCCATTTCAACATTTTCTTTTGAAATCATTTACTCAACAGAGGTTCTTCTTTTTTATTTGAATTGCATGAAAATATTATTCAACAAGTGGTCTAAAACTTTTTCATTAGTAGAATTGTAATGAAAGTCTAGTTTTGGAGAATTTTCAATGACCAAAATTATGTTGAAAACAATGGATAGTTTGAGTTTTTCCAAAGGAAAATAACATGGAATTTGTGGTTTTTAACTTTATTGCATTTCAATACCCGTCCCCTTTTCAGAATTTGTTAATTCATTAGCGTAGAACTTTTGATATATTCGAATTAAGAAAAAATACTTTAGAAAATAAGCCTAATATTTTTCAAAAAGTGAAAAAAAAATTGATTCAAAAATCAATAATATTTCAGGTATATTTTCAAATATTTATATTTTCAATTTCAATTTATTGATACATTCAAGCATTATGTTTACGAATGTTATTAATAACAGGTGACACCACATTTGATGCTTATACCCGTACATATAGTAGTAAATTCATGTAGTGTATCATTAAGTTGTCAAGGAATCAAACCAGAATGAAATCATAAAAAATAAGTTGAAAAATAAAGGTTGAGGGGGATTCATGATGTTTTTTCTTTTCAAGTGAAGAAGTTGGATGATATCATTTTTATCACAGGGACTTTACATAAGAAAAATCATATTGTTTTCACAAAAACACGCTCAGCCCCAAAACGCCAAATACTAAGTAGATATTGAGCTATGACCTTGAAATGATCTTGATCCATAAACATTGACTTATGGTGACTTTATCATTGGTCATTAAATAGGACTGTAGCCCCACATTTGCCAACTACCTAGATATTGACCTTGAAATGACCTTGACACCAGGTCACCTAATCATTGGTCGCCAAAGGTCACAATTGTTCTCAATTGCCTTTAAACTCCAAATTGCTAGATATTGACCTTGGAAGTCACCCTATCATGAGTTGCTAGGGGCCACAGCAGATACCAGGGCCTTAATACACCAAATACTTAGATTGAGATATTTGACCTTGAAATAACCTTGACCTCAGGTCACACATTCATGATTCACAAAGGGTAACCTCAGCCCAAAAATGCCAAATATATAGATATTGATGACCTTGAAATGATCTTGACCTATAGACCTTGACCCTGACAACAGGTCACCTAATAATCGGTTGTCAAGGGTCAGAATTGTTCTCAATTGCCTTAAAACACCAAATTGCTAGATATTGACCGTGAAATTACCTATACCCATTCAGTTGATCTTTACCTCAGGTCACATAATCATCGGTTGTGAAGGGTCACACCATCGGCAAAATAGACTTAAATTATCTAATCTTCCATCAGATTTAGTAAAATTATTACTCTTAAGTAAATGTTGCAATGGATGCTCACACATATCTTGTTGTATATCAATCTAGTGCAACTGCTACAGGTATCACTCTGACACGTATCTGTGAACAAATCAAACTTCTTTGATGTTGATGTAATGCAAATTGGTATCTTTTAATATGACGTCCGTAAGATAAACCATCAATACTAGGATTGTCAAAACTTGCATTAATAAAATCAATTCCCGTCTCATCACTGTCACACCCATTACTACAAGATGATGTCTCTTAGATCACTGTCTGCAAGCTATAAACTAAGTGATGCACTATATGCTCGTAATACTTTTTTATTCAAAATCAAAAGTCAATGATACTATTCCTATTTTACCTATTAAATGATTTTTATATATCCGAATAACCATTATATAAGTTTTTGACAAAGTAAATAATTGTAGGGCTCACACAAGGATCAACTTTTTGAAGACTTTTTCGTACTGATGTAGACTCTCCTGCTTGCGAAGCAAGGGCGATGAATTGAGATTTTTCAGTTGAAACAAGAAAACAAACATATAATTGTTTTTTCTTCAACAAATAAAAAAAAATTGAGTTTACCTTTGTATTTTTTCAAAACATCACTTAATATGAAAATGCTATGAACAAAGTTGATCCTTGTGTGAGCCCTATAATTATTTACTTTGTCAAAAACTAATGAAATGGTTATTGGTATATTTAAAAAACACTGACTATATAAAATTGGAATAATATCCTTGACAACAGTAACTTTTTAATTGAAAACGCATTTTAAGGTCATAAATATCCAATTTTTTACCATAATTGTTTTTCGTAAAATTACCATATCCGAATGGACTATCATTACACATCAATATCAAATTTGCATCTTATTTTGTATACTTACATGTATTATTTAAAAAAATGTATATTTTTTAAACTCATCTTTTTGACGGTCGCACCTTGGTGCAAGCCGTTTAGCCCTTTCGTGTCACTATTTTTATTGCAGACAAGTAAAAATGAATAGATAATAGATCAATCTAAAATGACTATTGGTCAATTCATAGTAAGCTACCACAACATAGGTTTAGCTTAACTAAGCCACTTAGAAAGCAATTTGGCACACACTATCAATGGGATGGATTTAGTGTGGGTTTATTCCAAGGGATAACATGGAGAATTTGTACATGTGCATGTATGTGTATTTTGACTTTATATTGCAAACTACCATTCTGTTTTAAATATAGCAAGCTAATTCTCAGCCCTTAAATGCATTTCAGGACCTTGCAGCATTAGCTGAGGAGAACATCGAGGCAGCTGAACCTCCATTGTTTCTGCGCTTTATTAACCTGCTCATCAATGATGCCATCTTTCTATTAGATGAGGCACTACAGGTACATTTCATATGCGATTCACATTTTTGATATTCTGAAGGCAGTTTCTTCATTACTTATTCTACTTTGTGAGTCATTATATCATGGACCTCAATCGTAACTATTAGTTTGCGTTCCCTTAAATAGAATGGAGTAAAATGCTCTGTGATTAAATGCTTTTATTGAGGTACACAGAATAATTGCTGAAAAGGAAAACTGTGGCTCTAAAGCAATCACAGCTACAATTGTCCTTCCATTTAATATCATTTTCTATCAATCGCAGAGATACATGTACGAGTACTTATGATGTAGAAATATTCTCATTGATGTTAAATCTCAAAGCATCATTTAGCCCATTATCTAACTCTAAATGATAATAATTTAAGTACAGTGTGACCCAAAAAGAACCCACAAATCTTTGAATAAAAGTTATGGGTTCTGCCTTCCTGAGTCACCCTGTACCAATTGTTTTAATTACTTAATTTTAGCATCTTAGTCAAGTCAAGGAGCAACAGGATGAGAAGGATGCTGGAACTTGGGCCAACCTGCCAGACCAGGAACGGCAAGAGAAGGAGGCCAGTTTTAAGCAACTTGGCTTCCTAGCGAGGATATTCAACATGATGTCCAATGACACTATCCAATCACTGGAGAGGATCACCCGAGAAGTGCAGTCAATATTTACAACTAAAATAATGGTCGATCGTATTGCGGCAATGCTCAACTATTTCCTGTTACATCTGGTATGTTTTCATTTTGTATTATCTGTAAGTTTATTGATTCCATAGGAATCCATTTTAAGTTTCTTTACTAAATCAAAAATCAAAACAAAAAAATGTTAAAATGGTTTAAGATAGTGTATTTGATTATGTTTGAATGAATATGCACTATAGAACTCTACATATGGAACACACTCTGCAGTTCTGCCTTGTAAAAATGTGTTTTTTGCAGAGATGATTCATAAACAAAAAGATCAATGGGACTGGCCATTTAAAATATTGATTTGATATAGTGAGGCGCTCATTACAGAGAGATGTTCCATTAGACTAGGTTTTACTTAATATTATAGAACTGAAAATGTTTCAAACAATAGTGAGGTTTTGCACAACTTTTGTTTCGCTCAATGTATCTAAAATCTGTAACACATTCACCAGATGTATGCATAGTAGTTCAATTAAAATGAGATGCAGTCTTTCACGGATTCTTTTCACGTATAACCCATTGTGTGAAACCTCTCTATTGACAATCATTTTCTATCACAGACATGATTTATTTATTGACATTTAGAAATCTGTTGGAGATATACTGCTACATGTATAAAGATAATTGGAGGTATAATAATAGATAATTGGAGGTATATATAATATATAGCTAGATTAATAGACATGGTCTGGGTTTGATATATGAAAAAATTATATTTAAAGGTGGGACCAAAAAAGAAAAATCTCAAAGTAAAAGATTTCGATAAATATGAGTTCAAACCACAGGAGCTTGTATCAAACATCAGCCAAATCTACATCAATCTAGGAGAGAGTGAAGCGTTTTTACAGGCGATACCAAGTGATGGACGGTCATTTTCTCAGGGTTTGTTCACCCAGGCCCGCCGTGTACTACAAAGAATTAATAAACCAGGGCCTATGATCATGGACTTTGCTGAGCTCTCTGAGAAGTTGAAGGTGGGTGCTTGTCCAGTGTACACATAATTTTTTATGTTCAGTTTCCTTGTTATGACAGCAGGTGTTGCATTTCTTATATATTTCTTTAGATCTGAAACATGAGGACGTTTTAATTTGAGATCTCGATTAATACCACTTTCTGTTTGAATGACACTGCAGAAATGCATGCTTGATTAACACTCCTTTTATTCAAGCATTTATTTCAAGCATTTAATTTTCTGTTTTCTAGATATAATGATCGTGGAATTGCCCTACATCCCCTACTAGGGGCTCATATGGTAGCCAAAGGTGGGCCCGTCAGTGAGCAAATTTGAACCACATTATTTATCTCGGGAAACATGTCAGATTTAATGATTTGGAACTTTGACGCCCAAAAAGCGACCATTATGGATAGCTTTTCTAGGTTTTATACCCCCGAGGTTATTTTCGAGGGGGTCTCAACTCTTTCTTAATAACTTTAAAAATATTAAAGAAATGTGTCTGAAACTTGCAGGGTACTTACCTGGTGTCAACGCATAGCTGTATTGAAAGTTTAGGATTATTTGGAATAACGGTTGCTATAGCAACCAAGAAAATGTGTTTCCGAACTGGCAATTTACAGAAATTTTGGCCTGTAGCAACCTGGTTGAAGTTAGATATTTTTTTTATTGATGAATTTTCACATTGTTAATTGGTTTCAAAAATACACTACAACTGTATTCTTTCATTTTATTGCAGATTAGAATTGACACCATTAGTATTAAAGGTCCATAATCGTACATGAATGAACCCACCCCCCAAAGTCTATAAAAAGTGGGCGTGGCACCAGACATGTATCAGTTTGAAATTCATAAGTTTAAACCCCCAATAAATAATGTTGATATTTATGTTACCCTGTTTCCAGTGGTAGTTGAAGAAGTTCGTTTAAAAAACTAGATATATTACCATGGAAACCATATATTTATGTTGCCATAGCAACAGAACTATGGTAATGAAATAGCCAATAATTTGATCGAAGCCCTCGTGCATGTGGTCCCATATATACAAAAATCAAATGTCCTGTATCTCTCAAAAATCTTAAAACCTTCCTGGGGTCAACACAGGGCTGTATTGAAACTTTGGGATTATTTGGAGTAATGGTTGCTATAGCAACCAAGAAAATGTGTTTCCGAGCTGGACAATTTATGGCAATTTTGCCCCACTGCAACTTGGTTGAAGTTTGATATTTTTTCTAGTGATGAATTTCACATTGATAATTGGTTTCAAAAACACACTACAACTGTATTCTTTCATTTTATTGCAGAATAGAATGACACCATTAGTATGAAAGGTCCATAATCATACATGAATGAACCCCCCCCCCCCCAAAGTCTATAAGAGGTGGGCGTGGCACCAGACATGTACCACTTTGTAATTCATGATTTTAAAAACTCAATAAATAATGTTGATATTTATGTTACCATGCTTCCAGTGGTAGTTGAAGAAACTCTCCTAAAAATATAATCAGATAATAAATATATACATATAATATCATATATAAATATATTATTATGGAAACCATACATTTATGTTGCCATAGAAACAACCCCAGAGTTATGGCACTCAGAAGACTGCATATGATATCAAATGAAGCTTGAAAAAGAGATAAGTAATACAACATACTATGACCCTGTCATTTAACCAACAGATGAAGCTGTAAAGTTCTTAAAACAGTCTATTTCAGTCCTCCTTAGTCCTTTTTGAAAACTTCACCTATATAAATTTGAAGCTCATATGTGGGTTCTGACTCTTCCGGATCTGTCATAGCTGGCCTCATCACATCAACAAGATCTTGTCGTAATATATTTGATGTGCACCAGTCTAGTTCTAGTACACAAGATTTCAACCCATTGCCTCTGGGAGATGAGAGTACAGGCTTGTGTTACATACAAACTCTTCAATTACAGCCTGTGTTTCAGTTGTAATATTTGTAGATGACCCAATACATTAATTGAATGCATCTTGGTATTTCTGGCTATTGAATAGCAGAGTTGGGGGCCTGGTTTTTCCTCATTGAACAAATGCACAAGATTTCAACCCATTGCCTCTGGGAAATGAGAGTACAGGCTTGTGTTACATACAAACTCTTCAATTACAGCCTGTGTTTCAGTTGTAATATTTGTAGATGACCCAATACATTAATTGAATGCATCTTGGTATTTCTGGCTATTGAATAGCAGAGTTGGGGGCCTGGTTTTTCCTCATTGAACAAATGCACTAACACAATAACAACCCGTGAGAATGGTGTATCATCAAGACTAGAAAATCTGTGTCTGGGGAATGTACAATAATGTTCTTTGACTGATCAAAACGTCTTCACATGTACTCATCTTGGTGTCTGCTTCTTCTTGTATTGACAGTAGATTGTTATCAACATATGATCGGACATTTAGACCATCACTAGTGAGAATTTTGCACATGTAAAGCATACTTTTCTGTTCTTCAGCTTGGCTGAGTACTTATCTGTTTGCCACTCGGAATTCTTACCAATTCTTAGGAATTTGGTCCTTGGATCATAAAGGGTTTTGATGTTCCTCTTCTCATTCTCTCTGGTTCTTTTATTGAATCTATGTATTTGATAGCTGTCAGTTTAGAAATCTACCCTCTCTGACTTCAGTGGTAGCATGTCAAACACTTGCTCTGCCAGTTCTTCAAAGGTGGATAGACGCTGCACTAAGCTGTGATAGATAGCATTACCATCATATATGTAGAATGATTCATCTTTTGCTGGTCTTGAAGGGTGATGTTGGGAGCAAGAGCATTTAGGAGTGTTGCTTTTGCTGCCTTCGCTGGCAGACCATCAGAGGACCCTAGCGCCCATGACACTGGACTAAGCGGATACTCTAAAACTTTCTTGTTCTCTTGAGATATAAGAACTAACTGTCAAAAAATATTCCTTTCAGGTCTAAACTTGTCAGATGTTATCAGGATGTCCTTCTCGATTGTCACAAATGTCTTCATATTTATTATTTTCACTGGATCTTGAAAACTTTTGGTGTCACTCACAAGTCTTTTTCAAATTCCACCTTGCCTCTGGATCTGACATGCAGTAGGTCTTGAGCTACATCTGGAACAGGCCGCATTCTTGATGATAGACAGTAGAGTTGATTATAGCATCTGTCTCAAAGGGGTCTAAAAAAGTTACCTATTGCGGCCCTTGCTTTTGAAACACCTTCAGAGCCTGCTATGTTTGCATGGTAGTAGGCATTTGGATTGGTGATAAATCCAATTACCCACCCCTCAGATTTCGCAGTCTGATTGATAGTCTGTTCAGTGGTTTGATCAACTGGCAAATGTAGTGCAGGTACTTGGGACGTGTTAACACTAAACCCAAGGTCTCTCAATCTGACATATTGTGCTGTTAGATATATAGCATAGTTGGGCTGGTCCATTGCGAAAAATAGTGGACATAGGTCTTGTAGACGGTCAACAGAGTAAGTGGAGGTCAAACTCATTCTCTGCTAGCTTGGATGAATCGTGATATTACATGACAATAACCTCTTGTGAGAGCATGGGGATTGGTAGCTGGCTGATAAACTTGTCTTACAAATTCCTTTGTAGCAACTCCTGGAAGATTTTGGGCACTCTGATTGATCTGTTATAATGGTTTCCAGTTAGCACACCTTCAAGAGATCCACTAGCATATATGCCAGCTTCAATGATGATCTCAGAGAAACCGTGAAAGCAAAGCCAATGAATCAATAGCCAGAAATACCAAGATGCATTCAATTAATGTATTGGGTCATCTACAAATATTACAACTGAAACACAGGCTGTAATTGAAGAGTTTGTGTGCAACACAAGCCTGTACTCTCATCTCCCAGAGGCAATGGGTTGAAATCTTGTGTACTAGAACTAGACTGGTGCACATCAAATATCTTACGACAAGATCTTGTTGATGTGATGAGGCCAGCTACGACAGATCCGGAAGAGTCAGAACCCACATATGAGCTTCAAAATTATATAGGTGAAGTTTTCAAAAAGGACTGAGGAGAACTGAAATAGACTGGTTTAAGAACTTTACAGCTTCATATGTTGGTTAAATGACAGGGTCATAGTATGCTGTATTATTTATCTCTTTCGAGCTTCATTTTTTGATATCATATGCAGTCTTCTGAGTGCCATCACTCTGGGGCCTATCACATATCACGTTCTGCAAGCAAATGCAAAAGTATCACTATAGAATAGAGATGTGTCAGATATACTAGAATAGTATCTCATACAAATGTGAACTTCAAAGAATGTAAACTACTAAGATATATATTCAGCCAATATAGTTTACTCATACATTTGTTGTTTTCTTTAAATGGCCAAATGAATAGTCAAATGAACAATAATTACATTAAGCCTTGCGTTAAAAGACCAAAGTTGTTTCTATGGCAACATAAATGTATGGTTTCCATGATAATATATTTATATATGATGTTATATGTATATACATTTATTATATGATTATATTTTTAGGAGAGCTTCTTCAACTACCACTGGAAACATGGTAACATAAATATCCACATTATTTATTGGGTTTTTATACTCATGAATTACAAAGTGGTACATGTCTGGTGCAACGCCCACTTCTTATAGACTTGGGGGAGGGTCATTCATGTATGATTATGGACCTTTCATACTAATGGTGTCATTCTAATCTGCAATAAAATGAAATAATACAGTTGTAGTGTGTTTTTGAAACCAATTATCAATGTGAAATTCATCACTAGAAAAAATATCAAACTTCAACAAAGTTGCAGTGGGGCAAAATTGCCATAAATTGTCCAGCTCGGAAACACATTTTCTTAGTTGCTATAGCAACCATTACTCCAAATAATCCCAAAGTTTCAATACAGCTCTGTGTTGACCCCAGGAAGGTTTTTAGATCTTTGAGAGATACAGGACATTTGATTTTTGTATATGGGACCACATGCACGAGGGCTTCGATCAAATTATTGGCTATTTCATTACCATAGTTCTGTTGCTATGGCAACATAAATATATGGTTTCCATGGTAATATATCTAGTTTTTTAAACGAACTTCTTCAACTACCACTGGAAAGATGGTAACATAAATATCAACATTATTTATAGGGTGTTTAAACTTATGAATTTCAAACTGATACATGTCTGGTGCCACGCCCACTTTTTATAGACTTTGGGGGGTGGGTTCATTCATGTACGATTATGGACCTTTAATACGAATGGTGTCAATTCTAATCTGCAATAAAATGAAAGAATACAGTTGTAGTGTATTTTTGAAACCAATTAACAATGTGAAAATTCATCAATAGAAAAAATATCTAACTTCAACCAGGTTGCTACAGGCCAAAATTTCTGTAAATTGCCAGTTCGGAAACACATTTTCTTGGTTGCTATAGCAACCGTTATTCCAAATAATCCTAAACTTTCAATACAGCTATGCGTTGACACCAGGTAAGTACCCTGCAAGTTTCAGACACATTTCTTTAATATTTTTAAAGTTATTAAGAAAGAGTTGAGACCCCCTCGAAAATAACCTCGGGGGTATAAAACCTAGAAAAGCTATCCATAATGGTCGCTTTTTGGGCGTCAAAGTTCCAAATCATTAAATCTGACATGTTTCCCGAGATAAATAATGTGGTTCAAATTTGCTCACTGACGGGCCCACCTTTGGCTACCATATGAGCCCCTATACATGCATGTACATTGTAAATGTGTTTGCTTCTTCATCACATTCCCTCAGCTTACCCTTACTCTCGAAACCTATTAGGAACTGTTCCAAGTTATCTACGGGCAACACACAATGCATTTTATAGTATTTTATAATACTGATTGACCATGTAACTGCATTCAATTCATTCATCTGTTCAGGGTTTGGCTAATAGACAGAAGGTTGCAGAGGCTGCAGCTGAAGACGCTCCTGAAGAGTTCCTAGATCCAATTATGGGCACATTGATGAATGACCCAGTCTCTCTACCAAGTTCTGGCATGATAGTGGACAGAGCAACCATAGCTAGGCACATACTAAGGTATAGCAAGTAGACCTCACAACAAAAAAATATTATTATTCTTTTATGGAGTGTTAAGTTAACATTTAATTTTTCCAAATATACATAGTTTTATGTACATCTATGCAACAAACACGGAATATTTATATATATAAACACGGACATTAATTTATGTAGCACATATGCTAAATATTATTCACATGACTTGTAGGTATACAATAATACATTGTATCCATTGTATCCATATTTCCAGCGATCAAACAGATCCTTTCAATCGAAGCCCTCTTAGTATGGACCAAGTGATTGCTAACACAGAACTAAAGGACAAGATAGACAAGTGGATCAGTGAACACGTTGCAGATGAAGGAGATGATGATGATGTATAGCCAATACCTGATGATATAGGCTGGTACATGTAGATGCTTAGCAATCATGACTGATCATGAGACAATGTTGGGTTGGCCCCTGCAGGCTTCTGTTCACAAAAGTCCCCAAAATGTAAAATAACTTCCAACAGCATCGCTAAACAGATATTTTATTTTGGAGAACACTGGGTTTTGATTGATTCTGATTTTTTCAAAGAATTAGAGGGTCGGGCGGTGTTTATTGTTACCATTATACAATGTACAATGTAGTTCAGTTTCTTTCTACAGCTTTGATCTGATTACGGAGAATTGGGAATATTCTGGTGGATTTATGTTTTAAAATATCTAGAATTGTACCCAATTGACTTCATTTTATCAAAATCCTATGTTGTAAAAGCTTTATTACGTCACCACTACAAGTAATGAAATATTTCTAAATTTTTGTTGACGTCGTTCGACGGTCGGCGTCTGTAATATAACAAAAGACACGTGGTGACATTTTGCATATTAATCCCTTGTTTAGTCATTGTGCTAATGATGAGTAAGCACACAGTCAATAAGAATGACAATTTGTTAAACTCTTCAACACATACATGTAAATAAGGTTGTTTATTTGAGTAGATGCTTTAAGGAGATCCGGAAGGGAATCTTGAAGTTTGCAACGTCTTTTCAATTTGATAATGTAAATATTTGTGCAATATTTATAAAAATATATTACACCAGATATCTAAGAGAACACTTTTGTGTAGTATTCAATTGTTGGGCAGTCATTATTGGGTCCAAGAAAAGGTCGTGTTTGCAGACAAAGGAATGAACGTCAATACACCTCTTTTTATTTAAGTCTGGACAAATCAGAAGCTTACAGTACAGGTGTTTATGAAATTATATCTTCGGCAATTAATATTAACAGTCCGATGAACCGGAAGTTTAGGTTTTTTGATTGATTATAGAGATTATAAAATTGAAACCAAAATGCGCTCAGCATGAATTTGTCTGAAATATGTGTAACTTCAACAACACGACTGAAGTGTCAAAACTGGATGAACACAAATTCACGTATCCAGAAATACCGTTGTCTTTTCAAAGAAAGTAAGCAATGTTTTGGAGGATTGTTTCAAACTTTTTGTATAAATTATTCATTTAATATTTGCCATTGATTTTTTTCAATTTTGGCAAAGTGATATACATTGTCTTTGATGCCAATATTCTCTAGCATAAGATATTGAAGTTTAATAATATGTGTGATTGAGTTGGTTTTTCAGACATTACAATTTTCAATATTTTCTAAGTCGATACGCAGACTCATTCCCAGACTCATCCTTTAATTTCTTCATCGTTAATGATCAAAATCTGTTTTTAGTCTGTGACATTTTAATCTAAAACTATTATGCCTTCTACAGCATTTTGATATGCTACATATACAGTAGTTCATCTAAATGAACTTGAATATTTTGAATTTAATGAACTAAAAATAAATTTAAGAATGGACGAACCAATTTTGTATGCCGCTGGTGTAAAAGAGTATTTTCCGAGATAAATACATGTATAAAAATAGTAATAAATAAATCTACAGGCTGAATTTTGTACTTGACATAAAATTCCATGCATGGAGGCCATCATACCTTCGCAATGGGCCGTAAACTGCACACTACTACTCAAAAGGTTAATTGTTGTACAAAACATGTATAATCACATTGCCTTGTTGGCTCTGTTTTCGACTTGTATTTATCGCACCCGCGGGTGCTATATTGTGATCAGTTTGCCTTGCAGGTAGGTAGGTGGGTGCCTGGGCGTCCCGATTAATCTCGTCTACATGATATGTTACCAGGCATTCCAGCCAAACGGTTTCGGAGATTCAACTGAAACTCTTGTTTGTATAGTTTACGAGACCCATTTATTTAGGTTATTATTTTATTTTTTTCCATAACAACAACTTTTATAATATTATCATCAAATAATTTTATTTTGCACTTTTATAAATAAAATAGTTCAAAATCTCAGTATCCACTGGATTTATTGGTGGGCCCTGTTTGCAGACAAAAGAATAGACATCGTCGCAGTCTTCTGTTTTAAACCTGGAGATACACAAAAATAACGTTCACGTTCACATTCACATTCACATTCCCAATCACCCACGATCTATTATTGTGACATAAGTTCTCATATACTCAATGTTGTTGCCCATACATACATGTATATAATGATAATGAATGAATTCGAAATGATGGAGAAATGTGAAATGGGAAGCGTGTAGTAAAGTCAACCACAAGACTCGTCCATTTGTCTTTGCTGACAACATATTTGTATGCTGGCTATTTTATAGTATTGAAAATGTTGTAGTCTATAGAATGAGCGTATCGTTAAAGAGGTACACAATGAACGTGTCGTAAAATAGGCACACAATGGACATATCGTAAAAGTGATCGTAAAATGAACGCATCGAAAAGCGGTACTGAAAACACCAATAGTAGCAGAATTGGAGTGTTTTAGCTGTTTATAGATGGTTGTACAGAATGAACGGATCGTAAAAGTGATACAGAGTAAACGTATCGTATCTATGAGAATGAACGCATTGGATATCGGTACGGAAAACACGTTTATAGTAACAGAGCAAGAACAGGCGAACAAATATGTTTGTTTATCCTATGCCAAGTAGAGTTTTAGGGAGATAAGTTGGTAAGATATATCCCGTATCCTGATTTTGAGGTTTCCATATCCAGAACCTCCATATCTCCCGCCATCTCTCCCGCTTCGGTGCATATCTTCCCGCATATCTTCCCGCTTCCGGTAAGTAGTGGAAATGCAATAAAATGACTGCATATGAATGATTTGTTTATTTTTACACCTTGTACTATCGAAATGGCCATATGCCCCTGAAAACTCTACTTGGTATAGGATAAAGCAGTTACTTACGGTCGGTTTGGATATTGGGTTCATCCCTCGTCTCCCTCTGGATAAACCCCATATCCAAAACCTCCCAGTACATAACCCTTATATATATTAGAAGAGATGTTTAATGTTATAAGTGTTTAAAACATGTGTTTTCCTGAAGAAGGTTTAGAAATGAATCGAATTTGTAATATCAAATATTTTTATATTAGAAGAGAAATATACCATTGAAATAGTCTTGCCCGCTAGTCCTTAACCCCCTCAACGTCCCATAGACCATAGACCGATATCTCTCAATCTTACCTGTAACCCTTATAGTGATCAATTGCCACACAGTTCTTATCACCTGGACCTTCGAATACCCAGTAAGTGTAAGTTACATTACTACCATCTTCCCACATTGTAAACCCAGCTTCACCATCCGACCTAGCAAGACCTATAAACAATATGAAGATCTGAAATATTCAAAATGTCACCTAGTGTCCTACGTTGAGTATGCGGTTGTTACGTTGTATAAGATAATGTTGCATGTTTTCTCATTACCTATCCACCAGTTCGGAATGCCTCTGATTGCTAAGACAGAATCCAAGAACTGATGCTCGTCACAGTCATGTACTGATGTAAGGTGGTACCCTGCACCCAACGCCTCGCATATTCCCTGTGCTTCTGCGTATGTAGCGTTCTGCTCATACACTTTGTAACAATTGTCGCTATGTTGATAAAGATTGGTCCCCTCCATGCCAGTTCCTTCAGGACAATCTAGAAGTATTCCATATGACAATAACACGGACGAAAGTTACGTTTCGTTCTTCTACTTTAAGATTACGATCATTTGATCCGAATTGCAGTTTTTCATGTGTCTATGGTGTATCATGTTCATTAAGTCCTGGTTCATATAAGTCATGTTAGTGTAAATCGTATTATATCTCAATTATTTCTACGATCGAAAATGCGACTCCTTAATTTTTATTGGTGCAGTTTTGTTCAGTTTTACTGTTAAATGATACTAATTATGTTAATTATTTTTAAATTAATTGTGTTATTAATTTTATTGACTGCTTCAGTTTTACATATTACCTTACCTCTTATACAGTGTTTTTTGTCATCGGATAATGTAAAGCCTGTACGGCAGGTATTGCACACGTCCAACCCGGGTCCTTCACACTTTTTACAATTTTTAACTGCACATACTGTAATATAAAATCGTTCCCCGAGTTGAAATTATACTATATAGTATAAATTTGATTCGGAGACCTTGTTTTCCTTTTCTCTGTATCAAGCTCTCTCTCTCTCAAGTTACCCGTATAACTTTTTTAATTTGAATGTCATTTATTTTGTGTACCCATTTAATAAATCGAATTAAAAATAAAACTGTTTAACCTTAAGAAAATTCATTTTCGATTTTTTTATATCGAAAAGGCGCCTGGTGATTATGCAAAGTTGCAACTCCCGGTCAAACTTAGACAATTCTTTGTTATTTGAGCACACTCTACCTGGCTTGCACATTCCCTCTTGTTCCCTGTATCCAAAAAGGCAGTTATTACAAGTCCAGGGCATATCACACCCATTTTGGCACAGTTAGCGGAACACTCTGAAATTTAATGTTCGTATTATATTTGGAATCTTTATGAGTTCTGAGAATCCGATCATATACTATCTAGTAACTCTTGATGAGTAAATTACGGTGCAAACCCAGATGGTCTTAATTTACCAGCCCACTATTCTTAATACTAGCTCGATTCACAAATAAGTGACACATTTTGGTATGAAAACCAAAGTGTATGCATGCTTTGTTTTCGTTTGAGGACTTTTTGAAACAAGATATATCTGTTTTGCGATTTGAAAATATATTCATACAATCAATATGCAAACGCTCAGAATATATTCAAATACAAAGAACGAGACATACTCACTTATCTTATTGCATGTTGCGCCATAGTATCCTTCAGGGCAAATACATTTGGCGATACCCTTCATACCCTTGCTTTTATATTTCACTTGTTCGCAAGTCCCTCCATTGAGGCAAGGGTTTACTTTACATGGATAATTTTGTTTTTCTAGAATATGACGGTGCATTAAATAGAGTCAATGTCACGAATCCGATTGATTGTAAAATTGACGGTCACAATAATATAATAACGATTGAAACATTTACAAAAGTTAACCAATTTAATGTATCCAATAGAGCCTTTGGGTTTCATCCTCATTGGGAGCATTTTACGAAATCGGTAAAATAAATGTGAATTTAATTTATGATTTTGAAAACAGTGTGGACGAGTCAGAAAATGTCAACGTTTCGGCAAAAGAGAACAGAAGAGAAACACATACTGCATTCATATTCATCCATCATAACATGACAACTTTGGGTCTTTGTCGACTTTCCACCCTTTCCACCTTTCCCACCCTTTGGACTTTTTCCATCTTTTGGACCTTTTCCATCCTTTGGACTTTTTCCATTCTTCTTTCTTCGTTTCTTTGTCGTCTCTTCTGGTTCCCCGTTCGTTTCATAATCTTTGGTTGTCTTTGGACGATGTGTTGTTACACTTTGGTCGTTTTTTGCTTTTCGCTTTGCAGTCTTCTTGCATTCAACTGCAATTTAACAATTACTGTTTACTCACTAAGGGTAGAAGCTGGCACAACCCATCCAGTACAGTTGATTTCATACAGTTCAGCCTAAACCATTCTTCAAACACAGCTTTCCTACAAATTCTTATGATGCCCTCTTTGCAATTAGCTACTACTGCTGATAATTGATTCATGTTTTGTACTTCTACAATATATTTGAAAAAATAATAAAAATATAAAGACAAAAAGCAATAATTGTGTGTCCTTACCATAGTATATTGCTATAGTTAGTACCAGCACCAGAACGATTGCCAACCTCATGTTTTGTGTGTATGTATGTCCTTCAGGCTTCTGTTGGTTGATAATCAATTTTACACATAGCTAGGTGGCAAGATATATCAAAGTGCAACCAATCAGAAAACAGTATTTCAAATAATGTGGATTCTTGAAATTACGGCCAAGCACTACCACGGTGACTATCCAGGCCCCGTATATCGCAAGCAAGTTCCCGCTGACATCGCGATGAGCAATGAGCTCATGCTAGAAGCGGGACCTTGAGAAATATGATAAAATATAGTAATAGTTGAAGAACGTCGTTGATCTGCAATTGAAATAGCCATTGCATTATGAAATAAAGTTGTATCGAGCTTCACTTACTAAAGTTTCATAGAGAATTTTACATTTCAATCTTATCACATCTCTCACGCCCCGCTTCTAACATGAGCTCATTGCTCGCGATGTCAGTGATAACAATTTCAAGTTTGCTGTTGACTGTTGAGTGAAAACTACTATAAATAGTATCATCGAGAATAACAAGGCAGAAGCTTATGTAGGTCAAATGTCAAATGAGTTAGTGTTGACCTAGTTTTGACAAATTAACCTTTGAAGCCCTCGTAAAAAGTTTCCTTGCAATAAATTGCTTTTCAGTGATACTGTACAAAATCTTTTGCAATGTGTGAAAATCATTTAAACAAATGAACCATTGAGTTGTGGAAGATCCACTAATGTCTTGTATCCTAGACTTTGAACTTGTGCTGCCGCTTTCAGTCAAAATCTGCATTTGTTGTTAGATCATCCTATCTGGGCTTAAATCCTTTAATATTCAATATGGTATACAGAATATCAGATCATTTTCAGTAATATAATTTTTTATCGAGGAGTTGATGTTTGATATCTACGAGGTGATGTGTAAATGTTAACACGAGAAATGAGTTGATATTGGGTTTATCCCATGAGTACAATGAAAACTTAAGAAAAATTCAAATTCGTTTATCACACGGACATGCGGCTGATAAACGATTTTCTGAAAATTTGACATTTCAAAACACCTAAATCCCAAACATGTACCTGGCGACACTTAATAATATATTTCTAATAATAACAAAAATATTATTAACAAATGTTCAATTAAACTAATTATTGAAACTATTTGTAGAACTACATGCCAAATTTATATTTGACACATAAATCAATGTTTCGTGTATTTTATTTCATATTGTTGGTAATGCCATGAAATTAAAGTGAAACAAATGCAATTTTGATTTAATTTGCAAAATTGCAGCCCACATTTTACCTAATAAATAACTTTGTCAATATTCGAACTTTAGAACTACTGTGTTCTTGATCTCACTACAGTTCATGTTGATGCAATAAATGCATAGGTGAAGAAATCATAACAAAATGCATATTTATGTCGTTGATGTTTTTAGAAATAAATAACAATTTGTTATTGGAAAATAATCAAAATGTTACAGTGAACGGAGGGGGGGGGAGGTATATTCCAGTAAATTATATACAGGGTGTCCCGAAAGTACGGCCCCCCTTAGGCAGACATACACCAATGTCCCCATAGTATGTATCATATATCATTTTAAAGCTTGTCCAAAGTTACATTGATTTGCCAAGTATCACGGTTCAACTCACAAACGGGAAAAAGTTACACACATTTCAAAATGTAGTGTTTTACCAAAATTAAAGTTTAGTTTTACACAAAATTAATAGTCGCCGCGTCTCCTCTAACCATGTTAACAGCAGCAGCAATTCTTTCCAGATATGACCTTAAATACACTGCAAATAGGGGTATGGCATTTAATAATCCTCATAAGGCATTTTAGAAGAGTTTCCTTGGAGTATCTGCCCTTACCGACCTCTTTTTACAACTCAAAATCCATCCTCTCTTGATAGTACCTATATTTTTGGTCACATTCAGGTTAGCAGTGTTTCCAGGATACTGCTTTTAACTTTAATTTTGGCCAAACACTAAGTTTTGAAATGCGTGTAACTTTTTCCCATTTGTAAGTTGAACGATGATACTTGGCAAATCAATGTTACTTTGGATGATATATGACACATCGTGATTCATAGCAAAAAGATTGCACAAATTAGTTTTGTAGTGCATTTTTAAAAATGCTTGAAAATTGTTAAAGCCTAAGGTGAAAATATTTTTTAGAAAAATATAAATATGAAACTATCTTAAAGGCATTAGATATAGGGGAAACTAGTATTGGGTATCAGAAACAAGTCAAATTCTTTACTTCAGAGAATATTTTTAATTTATTGAGACTTTCGACTAATATCCCTTAGTCTTTTTCAAAATATATGACTTGTTTCTGATATATTAACCAGAGAGATGAAATTACATAGTAGTATTGGGTATTTTATTGAAACAACCAAGGCTTTCGATACAACTGATCAGAAACTATTGTAACAAAACTTGAATTTATGGTATGTAGGGAGTAGCTCTTTCTTGATTCAAAAGTTATCTTGAAAATCGAATTTAAGAAACTAAATTCACCCAGAAAGATTTTTCAACTGACCAATCTACAACTAAAGATAATAAATACAGATGCAGTAAAAGTACAGCTGAATATGGTACTTCGAGGCTCAGTCCCAGGACTGCTTTTATTTATTTTCAAGTTGAGAAGTATGTGACTTTGTGAGAAGTGTTGTGTTTCAAAGGAGTGGTTGGTTGTATTGCCCCATTGAGTGGTTAATCCAGGGAACCATATCGCGAATCATGTAAAGGTAATAAATAAAGTTTTCTCCATGTTCACGAAGAAATTAATTTGAACTCTCAAATCAGGTACTAATATTAAATGGTAATGAGACAGTCCGTTGTTCGTGAAAATCATTCAAATAGAACCAAGTGAAAATACAACTTAAGTTAAGAAGCTGACTGATGGAAGGTTGAGTATTTGTAATTAACAGACACATATTATGAAGAAATATTTTCTAAAAATGCATTTTTATTTTCCTTGTTATGAAGAATGGCATACACTGAGATAAAGTACATTAAAGTAGGCTGATCATGTACAGTACTACACAGGTTTTCAAATTAAAAGGTTTTGTTACACAATTGTGACTCTAACAATGAATTACATGAATAGGCTTTATATTGAAAATGAAAATTAATCCTTACCTTTAACCATTGTAAAGGGTATATTTGGTTTACATGGTAATTCATGAAGCAGGTCCGATATACAGCTAAAACATTTTGCAATGTTCAGAAACAAGCAACAAAAACATTACAAGTATTACAATAATTCAGACTTTATGGCTAGTTATTTGGGTTCATATTGGTATATTCTTGTTCAGATAATGTTAATGACACTAAAACAACAGTTGAACTACATGAACTATGTACTAACGATAACAATCAGGTCATTTTATTCCCAACTGTACATTCCATGGATGTATCTATAAATTGCTGGAGACAAATACTGTCGACTCTCACAAAAATAGCATGGCTATTGGTACGAAACTTGTACATAAAGCAAAACATGTATTAAGGAACCTATATGTATGAACAAATAATTTATACTTTGAAAGGGCTGCATAACAATATACTATACTCTATAAAGACATCACAATACAGTCTCATGGCTATCAACAGTCTCTCGCCCATCCACTTCCGTATAATAATTACCATTGTTGTACCTTTGCCTGGGTGTTTTCTTTGGCTTGGACTTGGGAGTAGGAGGCCTATCTTTTAAGGAAGATCTTTTAAAGTCAGCAAAGGATGGCGACGTTGCCCGTCCAGCAGTTGGCCGAGAGTCATGTGACTCATTTTCCTCCCAATAGGGAGAGTCCTGTATTAATGGCTGCCGTGCAGGCGAATTTGGAAGATTTTTATTCACATTTCTCCTTCTGAAATTTTCATCTAAGTTTGAGCGATAGAACTTGGGAGAATTGTCTGTCTTTGCACTTTCCTGAGGGAGTCCTGCATGTATAGGACTCCCTCCAGGGTGTATTGCAGTCCCTGTAGGGTTAGATTCTGACTGTAATGGTGTATATGGCCTTTTGGGGCTCTCTAAGTCTTTTTCTCTGGGTTGACTTTCTATGGCTTTGTGCTCTGCTTCAGGAGAAGATTTCCAAACAGCTCTTTTATCTGGTTCTATTCCTTGAATACTGAAAATACGATATGGTTAAGGTTGATTAAAAATATTTTTGTTCCATGATATCTTTGGTTCATGATATATTAAGAATGACATCTTTTGGTTATCTATCAGTTGCCAAAGCGAAAAGTATCTTAAGAACCAGGAATATATGTATGATCTATATAACTAAATATCTGATGTACAACACAATCTATTCAAATGTCTTCCTGCCTTCTCCCAACAGTTTGATACAAACTAAAACCACAAAGCGTATATATTTCAGTTCTTGATCGTTGTTACGATACCAAGATCTTGCAATGACAGGCTTGGGATAATATTCTAATGTACACTGGGATTCCTGGGATCAGTTTCATTTAGCTAGAGCTGTGTTAGTTCGTTAACGTTTTATGAGATGAAACATTCTTACGCATTCTGATACTCATCACATCATTCTAGAAACTAGAAATAAGTTCGTAGAAGGCGATGATTTCTCATTATGTTGCTTACGGCCCCAAACTCATTCTTAATGCGGGTCAGTAGCATACAATCTATACGCAATATGGATGATGATGACTAAAGTGTTTACTCACGACAATTGTTTCTGCAGTCTTTCATTCTTTAACAGTGCCAGGTCAAGCTCATGACGTATCTTCCACATCTGTGTCTCACAGATTGGATTCTTGCATTTAAATGACCTGTACGTTTGGATTGTTTCCATAACTGTCTGACCAAAGGTTAGAGATTTGCCCATGCTCTGTAGAAAAAAGTAAGGTATACTTAGTTGTGAATACTGTGGTATTCCATGTAGAACAGTAGACGATTATTACATATTAGCATTATATACAGTATATTAAGTTACTAATACTAGTATATTTTTTACTTATCTGATCTTGAACTATAAATCAAGATAAGTAAAAGAGATCGACTTGGGCAAGGCTACGTGTACTTGAACCACCTCTGATATATTACCACTACTATACTATACGTCATTATACTAAGTTGGGGTACTAGATACATACCAAACTGACAAGAGCACAACAACCACACGTGTCCCATTGTCTTAATTTGGCACGGAAGAACTTGAAGTACATGTGCTCCATGATAAGAATGAAAAACCCCAGAAGCATCCCTATACCTAAAAGCCAAACATATGAAAACAATTCAAAACATTATCATGTGAGGGATCTGGACAAATTAACACCTCCTTTTAAGGGATCTGGAAAAATTATCAAATATACTATAATACTATAATTTTGAAATCCCATCTGCTTGTTAAAACAGAATGAGCTCATGCTCATGCTCATTTAACATGTCTATATTACCTAATAAAATAAAGGCACTGGTAAAATTGAGGATACCAAGGGGGTTGCTAACTTCTCTTCCCTTCTTCTCAGTTTTATCACATGCACCAGCCAACCAGAACCGACGCAGACGCTCCATGACGCCTAAATCAAGGATATATTTAATGTGTGAAATTGGATGAAAATTATTTAAAGATTCATTAAATATTAGTTTATGTTTAGAAGTTCAAATATATAAATATTACTAAATATTAATTTGGTTTTTAAAACCAACTTAGCTGGGACCTCGCTTTGAAATGGGTAAGCTCATCTTATGGAGAAAACGACGTGGCGTATCAGAGTGTAATGTTAGTAATGATATGCACTGTACTATTACTGATTGTTAATTTTGCCGAATATTTCATTTTATGGTACCAATAAATATTTAATATTTTATAATTATTCCATTAATCGTATAAATATTATATTGAATGACTTTGAGTGAATCCTACCATCATGTTGATATTTCAGCAAATATGTATTGAATTTATCTTTCCACGGGGAGTTCCTTGGGAAACCCACTCCATAGCCTGTCATGGCATACCATTTTCCGACAGTTCTCAACTTGCACTTATCATCCTGCCCTGCTCTATATTCTAATACTGTCGCATCATAGAGGAATGCGTTGAGTTTTCTGCAAAAATATGTTTGTATGTTATTTTGCCGAAAACTGCAAAGAGAGAAACTCGCATTGCTTTGAATAGCTATTGATCATAGTCACTTTACAAAATAATTTGTTAACTTGTAGAATTCTTACCCTGTTTTTACAGCTTGTATCCCGAGACCAACTGTTGATTCGTTGAAGTTTTTCATATATTGAAACATTTTAGGATGGTGATTCTTTAGGTTTGCTTCTGTGCTGCCATCTGGTACGGTTCCAAATTTGAATGGCGGTTTCAGAGACGTCGGATTCATTAGCTGGTAAAAAAACAAAATGGATATGTATTTGTATAAAAACAACATTTTCATATACATCCTGATTTAAGCTTTGACGAAAATAGCAAGCTATAATATGTGAAAAATACATACTCTCCAATCCTGAATCCCAGAAAGTCTATCATAGTCCTCCTTGGCTATCATGAATGCAGCAAGGTTAGCCGTATAACTGGCGGTGAAGACAACAGCAAACAGTGCCCAGACACTAGCCATGAAGCGACTAGCTATACCCCTTGGATTATCTACGTTCACAGCTGCTCCAAACAACATGGCCCAGATAAGCCAGAATGCTCTAAACAGGGAGAACTGGTGCTCTGAAAGTATAGATACAGTACGCATAATGGCTAAGCGTACAGCCCGTATTGCCGAACATTCCGTATGTATCTCGAATTAACATTTTAAATGCTCTGGATCTCGATCAAACATTACTGACCAGAGGAAATATTTAGCATTTAAAGAGTAAACAGTAGACGATACATCTATGTTGTACACAGTCTCAGAACGGTTCAGAAACTTTTACTGAATCGTAAACACCTTTTACAAAAGCATCATTACAGAAAAATGTGTCAATCATCTGGTTTCTCAAACACAATTTTTTTATTTTTTAATAGAAAGGTGTAACTGATTGAGTATTCTGCTTTAACTCTCTACTTGATTCAAATGAAAAACTGTTTACTTCGCTGTCTCTTTTTTATTTCTTATACCAAACAAAAGATTGTTCAATGATCACCACTACAGATTTCATCCTGTGTTTTCATTAACTAAGGTGATAAAAATTATCTAAGTCAATCTAGTCTCCTTTTGCAATCATCTGATATTTTATGATACAAGTAATTGATGCTGAGAATGATATCGTACATGTACAAACATATAAAATAATACTAGGCTACTTTTAATAATTGTTGATAAAGAAATTGAAATTATTATGTAATGTATTTTTAAAAATAAAATGTCTAACTAAGATATACTACGATTCATGACACGATCCCACTTAAATAAAAATATGGATATAGTAATGCTCCACCTTAAACGAGTCACCGTGAAGAGTCATGGCTTTCTATTAGTTCCTTTCTTAGCATACTTCAATTTGAAAACTGTGATGAAAATCAGAGTGCTTGTACGGTTGTTGGTATATATTGACGGGTTTTCTGCAATCTGTTAAGAGTTGTGGTCTTCTTTTTTAATTGTTGTTCAATGTTTAATCTAAATGTTCAGGATGGTCCAAAAGTGGACAATTTGTTTAACCACAAAGCAAAGAATCTGTTTCTTCTCTAAATAAGGACATTTCACTGAGCATATAGTTCAAACTGACCTATCAATTGATTACAAATATTGACTCTGAAATAGATCATTTTGTTATTTGTCAGGTTGTTGACCGATTCTTTTTGTGATTATTTCCCCATTTTGACTCCTGTGCGTATGTACAGGCATGCATAGTCTTATATACATGTACAGGCATGCATAGCCAGTCTTAATTGCCATGTGTGACATTATATATTAATATAGTTTGATTAAATGTAATTCCATGCTATATCATATCAGGTCATCACCTTCTGAAACTTTTGGTATAAAGTATACCCTAGTTTCATTGAATAGTGATCATCCCGTTTTTAACATTTGCGGACTCCAGTGGTAGCAAATGAATGAATATACGACCATTTAAACAATAGAAATCCATTCACCAGCGAAATTGGACCAGAATGAAGACATATGCTAAAGCATTTAATCACTGGTCCATGCTACACCAATATGCAATATAATATTTAGAAACATACAGTTTACAGTGTCTACAGTATTTTGCAATATTTTAGTGATCACAACTTGGCTATCTCAAGTATTTAGCTGAGAGCTGCATTGTTCATTGCCGGTTGACATATAGTGAATAAAGATACTATATATAGTAGCTATAATAAATCATACATTAGTTTCTACAAAGACGTCAGACCACGTACACCAAAGAGAATAAAATGACAGATTCAATGTGCATTTTATTAAAAACAATATATGACAACAATAATGTCTAAAAAGAATCAGATGTCGGATATTTATTATTTATCCTGACTTACGCTTTTTGTACTCTTGCTTTGCTCTATCATATTGTAGACCTATTTTTTACGACAAATACACAAAAGCAAAAATGATAAATAAACTACCTCAAATAATAAGGCTATCATTATATAAGCACTATGATAAAAAGTAAGTTTCAATAAGGATGTGCAAATTGAATCAATCATCATACGAAAACAGGTCATTAGAAAAACAAAGGGGCCATTATATTACCATTCAGTTATACCATCTACATTTTAGAATACCTTAAATCTGTTTCTGCTATTTGAATTGTTAGCACACATACTATTTCCCGAAGTTATTAAATCCTTTTTGAACAAACTATGAAATTAATAAAGAATTTACAAGGAAACTGAACTGAAAACAAAATCCGGAGTAGTGAATTTTTAGCAAATCAAAAAAATTCTCACCTCTGATCGGTGCATTTCCTCGGTCGAGGCCTTGTGGGCTGAGCCATTCATATATAAAGATGGCAGCACCAGACGCATGGACACTAAACACCAGAATGAGACACCAACTCGGATAGTCATATGGTTCTAAAAAAGATCTCACTTGGTAATTAAATGCATAATCACAAAATTATGTCCAATATTGTAACACGTATTCTATCCTGTTCGGATCGTCTTTCAAAGTGGATTGTACATTTCATAACTAACATGGGTCCATGTAAAATTCACTTTCACAATCAAACTAGCCAAAGAGGAGTAATACTTAACATACCTTTATCAAAACATTATTTCATTAAATGCTAGTTCAGATTATAACAAAATACACTTGCTTCAATATTGGTCGAACAGAATACGTAATTTATCTAGCCACATTGAACACGCGATGTGTACATTTGGAAAATGACATCGTATGTAAATAGACTAAAATGTCATATGAAATACTTGGTCATAATCTTACCCAGAAATGCAGTTGGGGATATCACACCATCCCTCACTGCTACTATGATTGTTATTCCTGTCTCTAAAAATGGTACAGAAAAGTCAATGAAAGCATTCCTCTCGGGTGTTATTTTCAGTGATGTCATAGATAGATCCGCCTTGGGTGGCTTGTTATTAGATATAGGCGAATCTTCATCTTCGTCCATTAAAGCACGAACCAGCCCATTCCACTTCTTGCTTCTCTGTAGTTAAAAAGCACAATGAGTAACGCAAGGACACATCACCAACCACTTTAGACGGTAACTAACTAACTATCCTAAGCTTAAAATTAAAATTTACTCTGGCTCTATCATCTGTGCATTTTGCGCTTTTGGTTATAACTGGGATTCAATTTGTTACGAAAGGGTCTGTTTACTTACATTATCATACGCTCCCCATTTTGCATCTTCTACTTGAAAAAGATTATACTCAAAGTTAAGATCTTTTTTCAGTCTTTCCAATAGATCAATACATAATCCTGAGCAACATTTGTACAGCGTGCTATTGAGAGTGGCATTTGGAGTGCTGCAAAGAAAACCAGAAAGTTTCACAGGATACAAATAAAATTGTCCCATATGAAAGTTCAAAGGGCATTAAAAAACGACAAATCTATACAAATTATACAAATCATGTGCTACCAATGCGATATTTCGTTTATCTATTCAAATATCCTTAAAACCCCTTGTTAAGGCCGTAAATATGGAGTTAGGCATTGTAGTTTCACCAATGAACGAAAATGGTTTTAAGTGGACAAACATAGAGGAACAAAATACCGGTACACTGTATAATGTTTGAAATGTCGGAAATGGGATCTCGAATTCATTACTTACTTCTGCGTTTCATTAAGTTTGCCCACTCTGCATTTGACAGAATTGGGTGGGCAAAGATGTGTTACGTTGTCCATTTCCAAGTAATTTACGTAAGGAGCTTCCTCTAGCATTACAACCTCAAGGTTGTACTTTAATGGTTTCCCTATCGGAGGTTGGCTGTCTCCGCTAGGCCATGTGATGTCATCAATTACTAGACCTTTATTGTTCCAATGGCCAACCTATAATCAATATTAAACCATCACCTGTCTATATATTGGTATCAAAGAAGAATACTTTGTATCTTGAAATCATTGTGAAATCATATTGAAGAAAACAAAACGAACATACAGATCTCCATTCTCTTCGATCGCTTCCATCCATCATAGGTTTTAGGTTCATAATGTGCAGTTCAGTTTCTTTGAGCGTTCCATCATCGTTGAATTCTATTTTTCTTTCATTATCAACTTTGTATCGTAGAGTATCGCCATCTAATCGATTGAAGGCAGGTACACTTACGTTTTTCATGTAGCTGAAATAGTTTCAAAGCGTTCCACATAAATTATACACCTACAGTCCGATCTTAGTTAACATGATGAATTAGAAAATATATGATATGTACCTTTAATTTAATTTTTTGATATAATACTGATTCAATATCCAAACATAGTAGAGATTTGTAAAGAGGTTTTGTAAAACGTTTTTAGCTTCGACTTTGTCAATAATTAAGAATTCATTGGATAAAAACATATGCGAACCCCTCTAATGTTCGTTAGGAACAAATCGTAAATATAGTAGACTTCGACTTACTTAAACAAAATTTCTCCTTGTTTCCAAAATATGCTGCGTTCCATATTGCAAGACACATTTGGCTTTAAGAATTTCATACTCATATCTCCTCTGTCGTGAAGCATATTTTCAAGGGCCTGAAGCCAGACACGCACTCCTATACCAATGGCCTGTTGTACAGCTTTGTTACGGGTATCAAAGTACATTCCTAAAATTAAAATGTGTGTATGATATGTTATATTACAAGATATTAGAATTTGAGGGATTTTCTATTTGGTATTACGATAAAAATAACTAATTTTAATGGTAAGAACGGATTTCGAGAACAGTAAGAACAGAGGGAAATATTGTGACAGGACGATCCAAATATTTGCTTAAATGTGACATTAGAAACTTTATAGGAAGTCTATTTTAATGTACGCTAAAGAACATTTTCGAGGACTCAATAGATGTCGTATACTTGAATTGGCTCAACATTCAAAAATCTTAGTAACAGTAGTTCCTAAAATATATTCATATTGAAAATAAAGATTTATGAAGAGGAAAATTAATATATTAGCTAATAAAATAGCCTAAATTAACAATAATGATAATATAAAATAAATCATCATAGGTTTTGAAATAGCAGATGCACACAAACAAACTGAAGAAGTTTTGGGACATTCCACTACTGACAATAAGTGAACTGCAATTTTGAAGAGTCCTCGATGCCATTTGACTTGGTTATACCCATGTATCTATACTCTAGCTAAGAATGTATATTATGTTTACCTATCAAACCAATAGGGAAATCATCATTAAAACTTTGTATTCTGTCAATTGGCTCATCCTTTTTAGGCTGCTCTTGTATTGCACTTGTACTGATCCACACATATTCGCTACTACTGAGTTGAACTTCTTTAGCAATCTTGAACATTTCGATTGCTTCATCACTGAATAATAAAAGGGAAAACGACGATATTTTGACGAAAGAGTATTTCACGTTACTAGAGAATTTTGTCTGTTTGAAATTCTCTAAAGATCCAAAATGGGCCATATGTCATTAAAAAGAATGAATTACCAAAGATGAGACACGATTCTCCAGTACGTGTAGCTGTCTGGGGTACTATAATAGACAATTAATAAATATAGGAAATATTTCTAAAGATGATCTAAATGGATTATTAGAATAGTGAACAAATATTTTTCTATTGGCTATGAGAGCGTAAGGGAGCGTAAGGGAGATTTTTAAACCAGGGTTACTCACAAGGGAAATACGTATACATACACGTATTTCTCGAGGGATAAACCTTGTATCTGAAATCGGTCGTACCCAAAAGAACATGTCATACCTACTAAGGCCTTTACATATGGAGTTAATAGGTTAATTATTTCTATTTGCATAATAAATTACAAAGAATTACATGATTGTGGAATAGTACATAAGGAGTACGTTACAACTATTTTCATAACCTTTGAATGGTGGATATTTGGGTTTTACTATACATCTTACGTTGTACAATGTAGCAGCAATATCCTAGAATCGGTCTTCTTTACGTCCTCCTCTAACACTCTCCTAATTTCCTTTTTTGTTGCTAGGGAGGCTCCCTCGGGCCCAACCTGGGGTAGTTTGGCATGAGATAACATTTCATAATGCCTGAAAGACAGTACCACAAGACCCTTACATATCATATTTATATTTTGCGATGCCTGACTGGCAATTTATGCCGTCTATGGGCAAACTGTTTTGTATTCTTTTTGGAAATAAATTGGGGTTTTCCTGCGTCTAAATTCGAAATGTTCGTTCCCAATTTGATGTATAGCATTAACTCTCTGATCACGTGGTACTCTCTTCCTAGTTAATGACGCAATTAACCCGCATGGACCCAAATGTACATAAAACAAAATTATTCCCCTAATCAAGTGCCGTACTTTTATAGAAATACTGATGAGAAAGCTTTTAAGCCATTAAGGTCGACATTTGTAAAACAGATCTCAAATCAAACCCAGAATAAGGTCTTATTAAACTAGTGCAAATGTGGTACCGGAATGTAACACTGGCATTAATATTAAAGCAATAATTGCAACTAATCTTCGGATGAAATGATTTCACGGAAGTCACATTGGGTATAAAAATGAAAATGCACCACGTCTTTGAATTTCTCAATGGGAAGTAGATACTTCATTTAGAGTAAGGTTTGAGATAAATAATTTCATTCATTCCCTTCACTCTCTCGGTTTTTTATATCCTACACGTGACAAGGAAATAATGAGGTACTGGCTGATACATTATCAAAATGATGAAATTATTGATTTTATTTCCACTAAATGTGTGGGGGTGGGGGTGGGAGGTGGGTGGACCATTTTGGAATATGTGGTATTCATGACTTCCTGTAATCCTGTCGGCATGCCTTGTAGCTTTCACCACACTCTACGTACACTACTCCTCAATAGAATAAATATATGTATAATGCTCTAAAAAATGAATTTTAAGTAATCTGTATGAACAAAGTTATATCGACCACGTTCCATTAAAAGTAAAAGATTTTGGTATAACGCGCGATGCATCAGTTTCCTTAGCAAGTGCAGTTGCATTGATGATGGAATCTTTGGCGGAAATAATTCTCTATTTGAGATGTTTCACGGTCGATTGAAATATCTTTCTTGAATTGTTTTTGACATCATACAGGTAGCAGTGATAAATTAATATTGGTTTTATCGTTCCATATTATTGCTAACGTTTATTTGATCTTAGACTAGTTCCATGGCGTTGGATATATTTTAATGGTTATCAATAGCTTGTGATCATCCCCCGGACGCAGGTCTCTAGACCTCATTCAATCTGTTCCTCCCTTCAAAAACCACCAGGGGTCGTGAATTCGTACGATCCGAAAATTAATCCGGATTGTCATGGTAATGATGCATTCGGGATTAATCTTAGAATTTATCCTAACATTTGTGAATTCGAACAATCTTCAAGGATAATTATTATCCTAATCTCAATCCACCTGCATAGGTGGATTAATTTTCGGATAGAACCTATCCGTATTCCAATGTCACTTGGATAATTTTTGGAGATTTTCCCTAAAAATCCTAAGATCGCACCAAATCACCAAGTATCTGGATAAATAAACGATTTATCCTAAAAGAACTCATGACCCCAGAACCGGATGATGCCTATAGCCCTGCGTTCGTATTGGATCTTTTAATCTTTTAAGACAAATAACTCACCAGTCACCTAAACTATTTGCCACTATTTTCTGAAGGGCAGCGATAAGGTCGCCCTCCCCACTGGCTGATCCGGTGATTACTGAGAATGCAGACCATTTGTACCACTTCATAATCTCAAGCATACTCTCAGCTTGTTGGTAGATAGATGGCGCGATGGATAACATTCGCAGACGATTTTTTTCCTAAAATACAAATAAGATTGTAAAAAACCTTATTTTCATGGTTGATCAATTGTAAATGCTGTTTGCAATTTTATCAACCGTTATATCTCTGACTTTAGCACGTTAGATTGCTATTATGAACGCACTTTATCATCTCAATTATTTAAAGGCAGTGGTGTTAAAAAGATAAACGTGTTTTGCTCTGTATAGTGAAATATTTGATGATTAAAAAAGTTCAGCTTTGATTTGAAAAATGACAGGATGTTTGAATATTTGAGAAATATAAAGCTTATATTTTTTTTAAATCTCTAGAAGAACTTTGAGTCGTGAAATGTTGAAAATGAAAGTTAAAAAATGTTTTCAAACGTTGAATGGGGCCTTTGTATAAATGATTTAACATTTCACTTACGCTGCTTATAAGTGCAGATTCCAGAAAGGTAATTACTGGTATACCGAGTGAGCCAGCCACCTGTAGTATAAACTTCGCCCCTGGTTCCTTCTGTTTATCCACCTCTGTACTGGAGTATATGATAGTGTTTGTATTAGAAGGAATAATTCCCGGAGGTTTCTCATTCCGTCCCCGTCTACCACTGCCAAAGGGTTTGTCGTAACAAAAAATGTTATCGACGACTGTTGGCGGATTGTACTTCTTTACGTTGAACATACTCTTTTTGATATAGACCTGATATTTTTTGTTTAATGTTGAGTTGGGATTCTCGCTGTTGAATAATTTCAATGCTTGGCCGGAAGGGGCTTTGAATTCTTGGCAATATTTATTAAACTGCGACGAACAACTATGGGTCACAGTTGCCAGATTTAAAGCTTGTTTCTGAGTTCTCCCAATTCGGATAAATCCAGATATAATCAGCAAATTGGCAATTCTAATCCAATAGTATAATTCCATCTTATATTTTTAGTGTGAATCTGATAAGCATTTCCAGCCGGAGCGATTTAAATCCTGAGACTGTAATCAACCGCAATCGTCGTCATAATTCGCAAAATTATGTAATGATCCACTCAACCACCGATGCATCTGGCAAGTTGATTATGATCTTATCCTACTCTGATATGAAAGTTAAATGTATGCATCAAAGTGCGGCAATTCTATAGAGAGGAAACTTTAACGATTGGCTGCAATCGGATCAGTTGATAGTGTACTGTTAATCCAAATAGGCTGTCGAATGACATAAAGAGTGAAGAATGCCTTAATAAGAGTAAGCACTTGTCATTCTCCATTTAAATGTCCAATACTTGGGGGTTTCAGCTCTTTTTTCTTTTGTTCCGTCTTCCTGCTTGTTAAGTTTTTCTGAAACATAAGAAGATATTCTTTAAAATGCATTTTATATACAAGATGTGTATACAAAAAAAACTGAATTAACAATCCATAACGTTGAGTGTATCCATAAGCTGTATCTTTACAAGTGAATTTTCAAATCAATTTGTTTCGTAAAAGGTTTTTAAGTGAGTATACTAATAGAGTCACTTTAAGATCCAAGTGCTACAACATACTTTATATACAAAAATTAAGCCCGAAGAGATGCGTTCTCCGTCTTTCGAGCCTACGTAAACCGTTTACAGTATATAATATTAGAAGGGCGTTCTTGCATATTGTAGTAATAAAAATGTCGTTTATACATAAATGCATCCAGAATGATGCAGAATTATTTTATTCACTCAGTGTCAAGTATGTTACCAAGGGCAACATTTGAGGATACAAATAGTAACAGAATTTAAGGCAACGTAGGTATACATGTACGTGGTAATAAAATTACTGCAATGTGCAATTAACATAACTGCAAAATATTCTTTAAAGTTATATCTTCAAAGATTCATGATATCAAATCAAATCGTTATTTAAGATTAAAGATTTCAAACTTAAAAATATTTAAATCTGTTTAAATTGCAAATGTTAATATCAACAAAGAAAAATGAACACATCAATGGAAAATAATTGGTTTCCCTGAGATATTTTGTATGAACTTTAAGTTTGTTCGCTAGATCTAATAAGAATTCTGTCTTTAATAAGAGAACTCAACTAGGCATTAACATGCAAAATGTCACCACCTGCCATTAGTTATAGACTCCATTTGTTTAAGAAGCCATTTGTCACAGACGCCATTTGTTACAGACGCCATTTGTTATATTTGCCGAACTCCGGACGCCGAACACCGTCCACAAAAAGTTGAAGACAACACAATGTCACCAATTGCAGTGGTGACATAAAAAGACTTAACACATATAAGAATCGAAGGTAATATATCTAAATAAAACAATGCTTTTCAATGATCTCCATGAATCTAAACAACTGATGTTTTCCTAACATAATAGTTAAAACTTAAACTATGACATGTTATCATTCGAAATATTTTAGTCCAAGAACTTGAGTAAATGATTCAGGATGAATTTATCGATGTGCAGCAAAATATCAGAAAACTGATTCATATAATCATATTACATGAAACATAATATATATTTTATATGAATTAAGATAGGAAATCATATTATTTTTCATTGATGGGGTTATGTGATATTGAATATTTAATTAAAATGCTTATTTCATCAGCGTGTGTTTGTGTTAAAGATTAAGAAATGAGTGAAGAAACATTTAGAAACTCACGAACTACCACAAGCTAAAATTGTTGGTGGTATAAAGCTATACTAAAGCTAAACTAAAGCTAAACATTGACTTAGATCGGCGATGTCAAGAGAATACCCCATCCCAAGCTAAATACAATTATCTTGCCTATAGTAAGTAATGCAGAGATTTTTTGAAATTTTAAAATTCTTCCGAAAACTGTTGATGGTAGTCCACTGTTTTGAAGATCATATACCTATACATGTTCATTATTATGATGACTGTTTGCTACCCCAATGGTAAAACAAATCAGAAGTGTGTTTGTTTTGATTCAAATCTTAACAAAAGTTGAGGTGTTACAATATATTTCATAAAATCGATTGGAAATAGTTAGGTTACTGACATTTGAAATATAAGCAGATATACAAGGCAGCTTGAACCAGCGATATGGCAAAAGCCATGTCAATGCAACAGATGAGTCAAGATACAACTCACAAAGTTGTAACCAAAACGTACATAGGGGTTGTGAAACTGTAGCTTACACCATGCTACTACACTCACACTCATAGTATTTGAAAATGAGCATATGGTGGTTACAGGTATGGATGTTAAAGTTGCCAATGTATACCTGGCATGTGGAGTGGGCAAAATAAACCTAATTGAAAACGCAAGATCAAGCAAGCCAGACCATACTGAAAAAATACAGTCTGAGAACCCAGAGGTTAAACCTCAAATGAATAATGATACCAAAATATTTGTTTCATCAGACGCAGGAATTGTTTCAAATAGGGAACCTGAAACAACAGATCACGACAAATTCAACCACTAAATACTTAGATGAGGGAATCTACTACATAGGTAATCTGAGAAACTTGGGTTTAAATGGGTGATTTGAAGTGATTCCGTCATGTAAAGGAACCTGCCGAAACATCCATTCTTGACATCGAGAGTTAAAGCAAACAGGGAATTGTCACCTGGTTACGTTGTCATGGTGAAGAATCGATTCCGATAAACAACAAAGTCAGGAACCCAGAACATACCTGGTAACTGGCAAAGGTGAGAAACTCAAAGGAAACACAAATCACAAAACAATTCTAAGTGAAACCAATTCGATGTAAAAATTATTATGTCACATGGGCGAACTACTGTATGGTGTCAGTCGAAGACACCGGTACACATCATTTGATGCAAAACATTATTGTGTATTGTACTTTACTACAATACAATAACGAACATTATTGTACTGTATTACAATGCAATAATGCTTTGCACCAACTGCAGTTTACTTCGAGAATCATCCTATCCAAAATGCATTATAAGAATTCATCATTAAGATCTTACTGATATTAACACAACTTAGAAATAAACAGAGATCAAATGTGTGGAGATATACATCAGACATAGGATGAGGAAGACTAGAAAGAATGTATGCTCAAGGAATTAAGAGCTGCATATATTACAAAGCCCTGTCTGTAGGATGAAGATCATAGGTCCCGTATATCATTTAAAATAGGAAAAAATGCGAAATGGAGGCTTTAGCCAAATTATTTATTGCAGGGTTGTAAAATATGATTTTCGCCTTTCGAATTATCATCATTCACACTTGTTTTGGTCAATTTTTCAATTATTGCATTTACAACTTCCATAAGGATGGATCGATTTAATGTAGTAAGTGAGTTATTCCATATTCCATGCAAAACATCCATAACGATGTTATCCCATGCAATATATTCACACTCATGATCGCACCATCCTTGTAGACTTTGGTTGTCAAGGCGCCTTCTTTTCTTAGACGTTTCTTTTACAAAGGCGTCTTTGGAAGACTCTTACATTTGAACAAAAGACAGGGATCCTTCCTTTATATTGGAACGTTAAAAGGCCGTCTGCAATTTAAGCGTTTATTCTACAATTACAAGGTAGTACCTGAAAAAGATCAATTGCTTTGCGGATTCACAACTAAGTATTTTATCGAGCGAGTCCCAGACCTAAATTTAGTGATTAAACACAAAAACTGGAGGGGGTTATTCACCCCAGGAAGGTACTTGTCGACAAAATATATTTTTACACCCCATCCATAAGTTAGGTAAACCAGAAGATCTCTTTTGGGTTACTTATTCCGAGTGGTGTGCGCATATAGTGTGGCACAATTAGGGAGACAAATCACACTTGCACTTTCTAATTTAGCAGTCTGATATTGAGAGGAAAGAAGTCATCGGGGCATGCTTATCTGATTAAATGACATCTTTAGTAATGTAAATGACACCTTGGGGATTTCACTAAAACTTTACAAACGTCATATTATGACTAATCTCTCTTTGCCGATTAATATCTGACCTCATTCAGTCTTTTTAATTTGGGCAAAAGAGGAAAACGTCTTGCACGATTAGAGATGGAGTAGAAACTATGTTTCTACTAAGTAAAACGAATGATCACGATCTTACTAATACTCAAACGAGATATTGAGTCGATTCCAAAGCATCAAATGCTTAAATACGTATCATAGTAATCGGTGATCTAGAGACCAGCTCCAAAATAGAGAAACATCCAGTCATGCATGCTATCTACGTCTGTCGAGAAAACTTACAAATCCTGATATATTTTATAAGTCAAAATAGTGTCCTTTCGGCAACGAAGGGTAGATTATTCTGTATCCGTTGTTCATTTGTTGAAAGGAAATTGACCATTTGTCCAGATTTAGTTGAAACAGTGGCAAAATTTAGATTTGCACACTATTTTAAGCTGTTCAGAAAATTTGACTTTATATGCATTTGAAAAGATTTTCAACGTATTTATGTTATATATAGCTAAACCGAAACTAAAAGTATGTTTCCCGAGACTGACGTGATGATAGGATGCGTAAAGAAACATAGTAATTTCCAAGAGGGTATCCGAAGTAAACGCAGTCCAGTGGAGAACAACAATTACCAGGGGTCGACTGGGCAACTGCCATGAAAAATGTCATTGCTACATTGATCAACTGGTGGATTTCTTTTCAATATGTGAACAATGCATGGATACGGATTACTCCTTTGTCACCGAATGGACAATATTTGAACATATAAAACATTTGGATTTGTCAGTTTTCTCAATAGTCAAAAATTTCCTCCGTTTTGACCCTGAACTAAGTTGAAAGTTAACTGATTCGCAGTTCAGCACTTGTAGCATCACCATCGTTATACGAATTATTTAGAAACGCATTAATTATAATAAATACTTGACGAACAATTGGGTTGTCTTCTTAAAGCCGACTGACCAAAAAACTGGAACAGTTTAATGAAATAAGTTTCTTAATGAGCTCAATATATCTCATTCAGTGAGATGTTCACGAGAAATCAATGATGATAATTTACTTAGACGGAATCTAATTTTTGTGCGATGCACTTACCCAAAAAGTGGGTTCGTTATTCCCAACAGTGTCATGATTTAAGAGTAGACAAAATTTGGATTGTCATTGAGTGCAATATTTGAAATCCAATGGAAAATATTGAATTCACTATAGATAAGATGACAGAATTCGTAGAATTTCTCAATTCACTTATTTCTTTTAAGTAACTGAAGCAGGAAGGGGAATTGTTTATCTCTATCAACAAACTTTGACGACCTGCATCTTTACTCCATTTTAGAGCTGTTTACTAATAGTTTACGTGGCCTTCGCAGGAAAATTCGGCGTTTTCGAACTTTTAAAGATCGAGGCTAGTGTATGTCAGTCACTATATATGGTTTTGGCACAG